GAAGACGACGCAGGGCTTTAGGGTCCTTGTCTTGCCCGGTACTTCTCAACATGTACTTGTAGGTACGTGTATCTGACCCCTGGCCCTTCTTGGCTGGCTCCGTTTGATCTGATATCTGCATCTCGACATCTTCGGATACGCCTTGCCTCGACTTGGTGCTAAGGATTCTCACTAGTGCACGATATGTGGAATTAATACACAGCGCCCCAAATTCTCGTGTCAGGCTCCCGAGCTTCGCATAGCCGCGGCTTCGGGTATACAGTTGAACCGCTACCTGTAGACCATCTTGGTCACGTCCTGGAGTGCTGGTATAGAGAGCTTCTGAAGTATGCCCAGGCGAGCTGATAGTGTCGTAGAGTCTTAAAGTGTTCTGAATGGTAGCGTTGGAAGGGGTACGACCGGAAAGGACATCTTGCCGGAGACTCCGACTACTGTTGTACAGCTGCATGGTCCTTTGAGTGTCACTGTGGACTCGAAGTGACTGGTCTTTCATAATATAGACCAGATCTCGGAAGTCCTCTAAGACCTCTTTACATCCCATGCAGGAGGCAATAAACTTTATCCTGATCTGAGGTGGCAGGTCTTTGAATTTCGGTTTCGTTTCCATCCAGGGACCAGGGCTGGGGCTGACTATCCCCCAAGATGAAGCACCGGTGGTACTGACATTGCCGGAAAGGGGCGAGGGAGCCTGGGGAGATTCCGTCCGTCGACCAGCCACAATCAATTGTATGTAACGTCTCCGCAGAGTGACGAAGTCGGTTGGTCCTGGGTCCGTGTGTCCCAAGATTTTGTCCGCTTCGTGGAGCAGAATGACACCGCAGTTATTGCCGTCATTGATTGAACCCTAAACGATTAGACGGAGTTGGTCAGATTGAGCGGAAGTAAAACTGTAGGAGAACTTGCCAAACTGCATCTCACCGTCCACCCACTGAGCTCTGGTGCGCCGGAAAGGATGAAAACAGCCACGGATATGGCCCTCTCACTCTCATGGTCATGCACCGTAAGTTGATGGTGAGTGAAATCCAAGCTCACGAGAAACCAATGGCTTGTCTCCTCGATATGAACGGGAACCAAAACCATCGAGGGTGTCTGCCACCTGCAGATTCTGGACGGGTTCTTCTGGATGTAGGCCGCATTGAAATCATGAGACTCTACGACGTGCACATCACGTCGGCCCATGGTCATGCGGTAGAGGCATTCCATCACTGCATCGTCATTTAGCCACTGGCCCGGTCGAAACGTATTCAACATGCGCTCAACCGCCTCTGGATTAGTGGTGATCCAAGGAATCGAATCACGGTTTCGGCGTCCAAGCTCAATCAGCCTATCGATATCATGGATCGTTTCTTCTTCTGGTAATTTTCGATCGAGCCTCGGAAACGTTACAGCCACGCATTGAGCCGTCTGAGCAGTGCTGGGAGGTGTATTGCATGAATGCCTGCTCTCTACAACTCCAGAGAAGAGTGGTGAGCTTGCCTGAGAAGAAGACATGGAGTTCATCGTAGTTTCTGCCACCTGTACATTCGGAGACATACCACTGCCAGAAGAGCGGTACTGTGTTGGGGGATCCGGATGGGAATGTGGTGTTCCTGACGGTTCTGAGGATGAAACGGACAGGGCCGGAAACAACGAGGGAGACGGTGGGAAGAGATCGGACGTCTCAGGGGCGGATTTCTCTAAACCAGATCCGATTTTGGTCTCCCCTTGCTCAGATAATGCAGGTTCATCGCTGTTAGCGACGAAGAGGTCACTCAAGCCACCCGTCGGGGAGTCTGTCGGTGACCCAGGGGAAAATGTCGGAAGCGGGGCCGGTCGACGGGTGTGCTTGCAGAAGAAGTCTGTATTGATGTAAAACTCCTCAGTCCTAGGTTGCCATGCATGTTCTGGGATTCTTCCGGCGACCGAACGCTGATTCCTCGGTGATGACACTGGCTGAGAGTATGCAGAGCCCCTTGCGTCGTCATCCGTATCGTCGTCAGAATCCTGGCCCATAGGTACGTCGGCCGGGGTCTCAGTCGGACTGGAGTCACTAGAAGGTGTCTGCAGATCGGGTTCTTGTGCAGGAGATGAATCGTCTTCGACGTCTTCCATCTCATCGTCCTCATTCTCACTTTCCACGGTAGTTTGAAGAGGTCGATTTGTAGGATGGCCTGAGGAAGCATTGTTTGCTTTGAGTTCCAGTTTGGCTGGAGACTCCTCACCGGAAGGAGATTCACCAGAAGGCGAACCAGGCGTTGACGAGACGACGACGGACTCCGACTGAGAGTCACTATCATGACCTGTAGTTGTGACTTCATCATCTTGGGGATCGATGATGTCTTCGTCCCATTCCTCCACAACTTCTAGTGGACGATATTCGCCGAGTTCCATAGCCCCGGCCGTGATGGGATTCGAACCACAATTGCGGTTGGACTTCCGGCAATGTCGATACATGGGTGAGGGAGACCAATCTGCTTCACAGTAGCTGATGCTCTCGACGACGTTGGTGCCGGTATTCCATGCCCACTGATAGCTCAGGTAATCCGTTCGCACGACCTCTCCGGGTCGCTGGAGGAAAATGTTAAAGCTGATCCCCCACTCGTACAGCACCGACGGCGGCACCAGGAGATTGCTATGACGGACAAACTGGCTACAGACTTGCGGAAGTTTCAGATTCTCCGCGAGCCGTCCCTCCAGGACGGAAGCTTGCCTCGGTGGGACGACGATCCAAAGGATTGGGTCGCCACTCCAAAGAATTGTAACAGATTGAAGATCCACCTCTTGTTTGTGCAGGAAGACGAAAGATGTTCCTAGGTTGACCCGAACATGACTCGAATGGATACCGGGGATGTGACTGTGAGTGGATAGAAGGCGCCGGCTGGTAGACAGAGGGGTCTTTGGAAGTCCCAAGGCAGCACGTCGGCGAGGATGCTGTGCCGAGCACGTTACATAGTCGAGAGAGCCAGATTTGACAGCCCTATACTTGGTTATGATATCTTCACATTTTTCAATTAGGATGGGCTCCTCGAAAGACTCCCACGAAGGATCCAATACTGTCGTTGTCCCTTGTACGGGGTCATTTGCATTGGTCCAGTCTGCTCTTGCCAGAGTTACTGTGCGGCCTTTGATGACAGGTCCTTGTTGTTTCAATCGTTGCTGATGAACCTCTCCAAACGACAAACGAGAGATATCCGGAAGCATTGAAACCGTAGGGCCATCGATGGAGAACTTCTCGTACCCTTTGTCCGAGTGAGGCCACGGTGGCCAGCGGCCAGGGTCCGACGGGAACTTGAGCATTGTTGAGTATCTTGAGGATAGAACCGCGAAGGCCTTGCGAGATGCACGATGGAGAGTCAAAGGTGCATTGGTTCCATGTGCCTCAAAATGTGCCAGGATTGCCTCGCAGGAAGAGAGACAAACAAGAGTACAGTCGAGGTGGCATGTCCAAGTCTAAGAAGAGCAACCCATGTACAGGACATACACTCATCTCATCTTCCTGACTGCAAGCAGAGTGGGGGGAAAGGCATCATGACTGGAGTCATGGAGCAGCGTCCTGATCAGGAGGGAAGTGTGTGAACCCATGTTCGTCTGGTTGTGTGACTGCTGCCCCCACAAGCATCACCACGCAGAGGGTGCATGTCGAGGGTGCAGGCAACGGCCATTTGAAGATGGTTGAGATCCCTTCTTCCGTGGCAAGGGCGAAGATTCTGGGGGCATGCCCGGGACAATTTGGTGTTAGAGTGGCCGACACAGCGGCCAACTGATTCATGAGGGAGACCAGCATATCGACGAACGGGTGGGTTACTGAAAGAGAGTCCAGTAATACAGTACTTCCCTGATGAAGGGCAAAGACGTGGTTGGAGATACTGTACCGCTGATGGAGTATGGCCCACGACAAAGTTGGTGATAGAGCAGCCGACACAGTGGCCAACTGATTCATGAGGGGCGGCGAGCATATCGATGAACGATTGGAGATTGAAAGAGAGTCCAATGATACAGCATTTCACTGATAAAATTCAAAGACACGAATGATTCTCGTTGGCCCTGGACTCGGCGATATTATAAGACATGGTTTGTATGGACTCAAGCTAGTCACTTTTTTCCCCGTTGGAACTTATTCGGCGTATCTCACGTAATATGCCTAGACAATGGAGCCGGGGTATTCATGCGGGTGTCTGGACCACATAATTTTCCGGACACTCCTGCATGTCGACAAGAGAGCAATACAGTACGATAGTGTTGAGCCGCAACTGAGGTTGGGGTGCCCTTCTGTGAACGTAGTCAAGAGCCGCCCAAATAGCCTTCCCGTAAGGGGCTTGGCACACTCGCGTTCCTTGCGGTTATGATAAATGATTGGTGGATGCTTTGATCCGCAGAATCAATAGTCCGGCACGTCAGTTCGTAGGTCGCGTGTATGTGCCACTCTGCTCCTACTCATCCAATGGTAGAGAACACGCTTACAGGGAGGCTTGTAGATCGACGCAGGCGAGGCGGATGCGACTATGCCACTTTCGGTAAAGGAGCAAGTGGCGGATGCATTATCGCTCGAAAAGGCCTAAGCAGATTCAAAAGGCCTATGGGGAAGCTCCGAGTTACGGGCCATTGCGCCATTGCGGCCGGGGAAGCTGTTGACAGTTTCGAATATTTTTTTTATTATTACGATCACCGATTTGAAAATCGAAGCTCGCTGCTTGACATCGGCACGTTATGCCGGTCGCCACTGGGCATAGGAGGGGCCTGCCTCAAGAGTTCAGGTTCCATGAAAAGAATATAAGCAGTCCCCGAATGCTGAAGGTGTGCTGTAACACGCCTTCAAAAGTACAATCAACCTAGGGGACTACGAGATGAATCAATGGTGCTACAACGGGCAAGTCGACGCGGGCCAACAGCCGATAGCCGAACCATATCCGTCGAGCTCGGACGCTTCTTCGTCCGCTAGTGCTTGGTGGCAGATTAACTATGATTTGAACCACTCTTGGTGTTGTCTGAGCACTCCTGCCATCTCCATCTGTCCAACCATCATGCCAGCCTCTGCAGCCGTCACAATCCCGATTGCTGTTGCCTTCAGACAGCCACCCCTCTCTGTCATTCTCGCTCCTGGCACATGGCTGCCACACACAAATTCCTCTGGTTGTTATTATCTGAACACTCAACCGTGTCTGTGTGGCTCCTCAGGGTATTCTGGGCTAGACCCCAGACTACCTCAGGATTTTGTTCCGACCATGGCCAATGATCCAATCCCCTTCTACCAGGAATACATGAGCTGGAGTGATCAATCGACGAGTGATTTCGCACTATGGGCAGACTCTACGGAGGAAGCTCATGAAAAAGACCTGTCAACAACATCGAACCGAATCGACGACGATGTGTCTAAACTACCGGAACATCAAGCACCCGAACATGACGATGATCTTATGAATTGGCAGGTTTAATCAGTCCGTCGGAGAGCAAAATGCAAGGATTCAGTGAATACGTGAACAACTCAGTGTATAGGAAGGATCTTACAGAAACCAATTCGAGCGACGTGTATGGTCATGTTCACAAATGCGGGTTCCTGTAGCATGGAGATCAACTATTGAAAGTCTATCCTAGATACTTCGACTATGAAAGCGCGAGTATGAAAGCCCAAGCACCCATATCCGACCAAATCCTCAAACGCCGGCACTCCTTTGTAGCAAACTATCCTTCATTCAGTTGAAAGTATAAGAGCAATTACGCCATTGAAGAATCCCAAACCATCCATACCAGCCGCTGATTTCATTTCAGTCGGAGAGTTGCAACACTTTCTGTTCCAACCGCGCAAGTTGAGCCATGATCGCAGCCATCAGATCGGAGTTCTCTGGAGGGGTGGACTCTAGTAGGCCTTTCGCGGCCTTTGAGCCTTTCCGTTTCCTGGGTTTCTGTTCTGGAATGAACAACTCTTCCGGGTCATCGGTTTCGAAAGCACGCAAATCCATCTCCCCTGGCCCATCTGAGCCTGGCATTACCTTGCCCCTGAGCCGAGCACGCCGCTCCGTCTTCCCTAGCCCATCTGAGCCTGACGTTACCTTGCCCCTGAGCCGAGCACGCAGCTCCGTCTTCCCTGGCCCATCTGAGCCTGACGTTAGCTGGCCCTTGACCGGAGGCGGCTCAATGAGGTGCGATGACGGGGCGAACACTTTGATTTCATCATCCGCATCCTTCTTACCAAGCATCTTCCTCAAGGCCGTTCGACTTAGGATGTCAGTCTCACCGTTCTTGAATTTAACTAAGCCGTAACCAGTGGCCGGCTCGGAGAGTGTCATACATTCCATCTTTTTCGTCGCAAACCCGAGGAGCTCTTCGAAGTTTGCCACGTCCTCGTAGGAATATTTTCGATCAGAATATCGAATGTCTTTTCGCTCTGACGCAGGCAAGTCAAAATAAGCATTTGTTGCACGGTGACCGACTTCCGTTCCCGAAAGTAGGATGACGGGGTTGTCCGATCCTCGCTGTTCGACCACAAATTGAACGCCGAACATAATTTCGACACCTGTCCTCCGATCTCTTCGACAGAAGGGTCGGTAGCCCAAGATTTTCTCACCGTCCTTCGTCAAGCCAGGTTCCCAATACGGTTTTTTGGCCATTGTGTTGGACTCTCCAGAGGGAACCTCTTCTACACCCGGGTTTGTGGACTGTGAAGGTTCGTTTGAGGATCCTGATTTGGTCCGGCTTGTCTTCTCTGACCGTGCCCTTGCAGAGCCAGTATGCTGTGGAGTTTCGTTAGAGGATCCTGATTTGGTGCCGCTTGCCTTCTCTGACCGTGCCCCCGATGGCCCACTGTTGCCATCTTTGCCCTTTCCTTTTCCTCCTCCTTCAGCAGCTTCGTACTCCTCGACCCTCTGGCGCCAATCATCGGGAATATTGAGTCTCCAACTTTCTGGGTAATGGTTGTTTCTACAGAGTTTCTTCAACTGCTTATCAAGTGAGACCAGCTGGTTGAATGCATCCTCATCTTTGGGGTTCTTCTTCAGGCGGGACTTCACGTGCGACATCTCCAATCCAATGGCGCGCAAGACCTCGGTTCGGATCAGGAAGCTCTCTTTATTGGGCAGACGGTCTCCTTCATTCTTTCCTCTGATCTTTTGGTTGAGTAGCTCAATTTCGTCCTGGCTGGACGAATCCTTATATTTCGCCAATAGCTTGTTCACGTGGGGCGTGGCTTGCTCATAAATCCTCAGTCTAAACTCATCCGGAACCTGCTCACCGTTATCGACATTGTCCTCGTCAGAGGAATCATCAGAGGAATCATCAGAGTCCGAATCATCGCCCCAAGCGTTAGGCCCAAATTCTTCACCGAATGTTCCGTCCTGGTTATTGTTGGCTTCATCAGCCTGGTTAGTTCGTAGTTTGGCGTCATACTCCCTTTTCTTCTGTGGATTGCTTAGGACTTCGTAGGCTGCGTTCACCCCTGGACGCACTGTTAGCCTAGTTTTTCTCTGGAGGAATATGCAGAGACGTAGCACTTACTCTGAAATGCCGTGGTGGTCTCTTTGTCAGCATTTTTATCGGGGTGAATCAACGTTGAGATTTTGAGGTAGTTCTTCCGGATATTGAAGTCAACCGTATGTGGAGGCAGGTCTAGCAGCTGATAAAGATCTGTGTCCTTACAGTTCAAGACACGGTTTACCTCCTCTCGTTGTTCTTTGGTATATTTTCTCCCGGTCTTTTTGTTAGAGGATTTCCCCCCCGGTTTTGCCCCTCCACCCGAACCTTCGTTGGCGGCTTTCACCCCAGTATCTGCCATAGGTACGTCGCCATCTGAGTCTGGCGTGGGGCTTGAGCCCTCAAGTGGGGGAAGAGGGGGATAGCCGACAGGGTTAGCTTGTTGATCTGTCTTGCCATTTTCTCCATGTGCTTTACTGGCCTCACCATCACCAAGTGCTTTATGCTGCTGCGGATTGTTACTAGGCGCACTGTTTCCAGAGCTCATTTTTGGGGGAGTTTGCCTCGGGGTGATGTGGTGCTTTGATGACAAAAGTTGCAACAGTATAGTCAACGACAGCAAAACGGAGCAAGCTTGAACTAGGAGTGACTCAAAAGATTCTCAAGCCAGAGAGTTGAAGTAGGGTAGATGTGTTGGAAGAGGAAAGAACAGGTGCAGACTGAGAGTACACTCCTTTTAAAGGGCAGAGGCGTCCTATGCCATAGGTAAGAATAGCAACAGACGGGTCTATTTTTACTTTTGCTAAATTTAGATACTTTGAGATACAGTATAAGACTACTCGCTGAGTTTCCTTCCATTCAGATTCGTCAGAAAACAGCTCTTCTCCGAGAACATTTTGCCAAACATTACCACACTTCACAATATGAGGCTACCAACATTTGTACCCAAAGGACAAGCTGCCAATGCAACGCTCAACTTGGACTCTCCCGAGATTGATATTAACATTGGGGGAAATTCCTCCGTGTTCACCGTCAACGTCACCATCAAAGATGAAGGGAACATAGACACATCTTTGACCCCGAGAATCCCTTCTGCCGACGGACCTCTCCCAACTCTGCTGAGTACTGTACCGACATCATCAGTCACACCGACCTTGAGAAGTTCCATGTCAATGTCAATCAACTCCAGTGGGTTGCTCGCAACGACAGTTCCGGCTACGAGTGCGTTCATACCGTCTTTGTCAACATCTGCTATGAAAAGTACCCCTACACACCTCGAGCCATTTACAACCATACCAGCACTCGCCACTCATGGAGTCGATGGAAGCTCATTGACAAATACATCGTCTGGGGCATCCGTTCCTCTTATCATAGTTATCCTTCGTACTCTATTTGGTTAGGGTGACCAGACACAAACTCGGTAACTATCATGTCACGGTTGTGTACGTGGCGTCAGAAGGAATGGACCATGATGCCGGTCCTGAGATTTAGGTGGTCCAGGATTATCAATGCCGTTAGCTGAGTCTACTGTATAGAAGCAAGGATAGCCTGTTTAGAACTAGGTAGAATGTCACGGTGGATGTTGTATCACTATCCCGCCGATCTCTCTCCCATTAGTTAACCTTCACCTGTAACTTTTGCTCTCACACACAACCCTGGGGTTCACAAACGGACCAAGAACCTCAATGTCAAGATCCATTATCAACGAAGCATTCTGGAACAAGGTTCCATTGACATTCGCTGCATCCCCACAACGCTCGGATGGACTCACCAAATCACTCGGTCCTACTGATGAACTTCATTCGCCTCATAGGCATGGAAGGCGAGATCCATCAGCCAGGTTTGAAAACCAAAGTCGTAATATGACAGAGGCGCTCTTTTCACCTTTTTTGGTCCTTGTAAATGTTTTAAGTGGTTTTACGGAGGCCCAGCCGGTTGAGCTAAGCTCAGCCTCGCCATACCAATGGTATATCGATGCTGAGGGGAATGTGGTGATATGAGGCTCAACAACTATCATGATACTGTGAAAGTCTCATGGAATCCGTGTTTGGAAGTTGTAACGTAAGGAAGCTTTTAGAATGTCAGTTCGATGTGTATATACAGTACTTCTACTTCCTCGGTAGTCACCAGACTGCTAAAAACTCCGGGTATGCCGTCTCAATTTTCTCTATCAAAAGCCCACCAAAGTCAACATCCAACACGAGATTCAAAGTTTCCGGTTCACTCTATTACAAGCAAGAGTCATACTGTAGCCTATGAATGGCCCCGACATTCATTGGCACATTCATTATCGATTTCCAAATACCCTCAGATGATCTCCACCTCCATGCAAGATGTGTAAGTTTCATTCAATATAGCCGGGGGGGTTCCAGGATTCCCAGGTACGATGCTTGGCCAATCCCACACCCAATAGAGTGTGAGAAGGGTCCCGTTGGCAAACGGGATACCGGTTTCATCGTTCAGCTCGATGGTGGTTCCACACCATCGGTTGGGTGCCTCGGTGATTGATGGTCCTGGACCGAATGTATTGCTTCGGGTGGTGGCGATTTCACTGTGGCCAGTAGGATCAAACTGAAAACACCGACCGTCATCGAATGGTGTGCTCGTCAAGAGCAGGCCACGTTGGTCACCTCCAGTCTTATCAGCGGTCCACTGGCCATGAATAGCGGTAAATTTGTCATCATCCCGAGCTTGGGTGGTGGCGTACACCGAGACTTGGCCTGGTGTGGGTTTATTCGGAGGAACGTCTGGCTGGGTGATGTGGCCATTTTCCAGGTATCGCAGAAGTACACTACTACCTTGCGGGGCCATCAAGACAGATCCTCCACTTTGATTACCTTGCGTCTGAGTCAACTTGCACATTAGATCTGAGTCTTGAAAAGTTAATGCTGGAGCTTGGGGAAGCAGATACGTGTTGTCTCCATCGACAAATCCAGGTGTGGTCCTCGGTACTGATTATTCTCCGTCAGCGTGCATTCCAACGGCTCTGACTTGGTGAAAGTCTCTTACCGTAGCCGCGAATGAAGCCGGGATCACCCACAGGTTGACCATCTTGGTCCACCAGAGACAATTGCTCAATCCAGGTGTGGCAATTGACCAGGGTTAAGGAACAAAGTAGCAAGCCTATGCCAGCCAAGAGAGTCATTTTTACTTTTGCTGTCCTTCGAATGACCGTATGGGCCCTTGCCATTCACGTTATATACTCTGCTGCGATACAATGGTCGCGAGAGATTCTAAAAATAGAGTCACCTTTGCATCAAACATAGGACAGTTATTATTAGAATAGTCTATCATTGTGTGCGAATCGCATCTCTGGATCAGATGAACTTCGGAGAAAAGGCATCGCAGGCAGTAATCCAGACTACACCACACGGAATCTGGCTTGCGCTCATGAGGGGAGCTTTATATCGGCTACCCATTGGGAGATCATCAAGTCCCTGGGGCAATGTACGATTTGGATAGCATGTCCTTGACCCTGGCTCGCCGACCAGACATTTTCAAATGGACAATGTTTCACTCGGGCACGGACGAACAGTAGGTGGACCATGGGAAAGGCGGGCTCGGGCGGAAGTGATGCTATTGTGCGGCATTGACTGGGCTGGGGGATGGGGTGAGTAGACTAAGTGGACTTAGTTGGAACCCGAGGGACCGCCGATCCCTAATGCGCTCGTAGTGGCTGATGATCCGACCACTTGTGCTCGGCGTTAACAGCTGGCACTCTAATGGACTGCTTAGCGCCGCATAGAATAATTGCACATGACAACTGAAACTAGTATATATTATTGACCGTCGAACTTCAAACTCCATCCAACCATTTATCGACTGTTCCTCGACATCTCATTTCTGCCGGCATGGAGGACAACCTAGACGAAATATCCGCTCAAGGCTCCTCCTCAGTGGCTTATCGGCCCCAAGGCAAACGCATTCGAGTCATACAGCAGTTTGTAGAAACAATTCTTGAGGATGACACAGCTTCTGAACCACCACGCCAGCCTTCTGAGCAAGATGAAGAAGTACACCTGTACGATTTCATCGGTGCTGTAGGCATCCAGAAGGATCGTCGAGGGAAGAAGTCAGTGCGGTATCACGTCAAATGGAAAGGTTATGGTATCAAGGCTATGACGTGGGAGCCGGAGGGCCATATTTTTGAAGGAGATTTGCTGAAGTTATGGTCAAAGTATGGTCGGATCTACGTCCGCAACAGAAAGGGCCGGCAGGTAATCAGGCATTGTAAGCAGCAACTCCATCATTATGATCCAACAGAAGTCCACGGAAGCAAAGCTCCGGAAACGGCTCAGGCCCACCACGTCACACCACCGGGATCGCCGGAGAACATCGAAGAGCCTTGTGAGCAGAATGTTGAACGAGATGGTGGCGGCGATGGTCTTTTTCTTTCCCAAAATCCTAAAGCACCAGCAGAATTGGATGGTGGCGATGGTGATGATTTGCCTCGATGTACTCCGCCGACCTCGCCTACGTCTCGTCACTCCCCTGCACCTCCACAACAAGGCTTTGCTCGGCTCCGTGATGCACATCAACATCCATTGGAAAGCATTCCTCAACTCGAGGTTCTTGAGACGTCTCAGGGGCTATTGAACGAAGAGGTTACGCCCTCGAGCCAATCAGACATTCATGAGATCAACCCTACGGAGACGATCGGCCCAGCGTCTGTGGTTAGCAATGTGTCTGTACAACATGCAAGCATCTCGCACGATAAGGCGAGAAGGAAAAAGTGGTTCACTCGCACCACAACCGGCTGCCTCTCCTGTCGCAGAAGAAGAGTGAAATGCGACGAACATCGCCCGTCATGTGAGTAATTACCTGCTCCTCTAGCATAATAAGGCGCCATCACAAGTCAGGTTCATCTACTCACATGCTCTCAGGTGTTAATTGTGTTCGTCGGAAGTTGCCTTGTGAAGGATACGATTCAGGTCCTCAATGGATGAAACCCCAGCCTACCACTATGGACCCCATGGGACGGGATCTCGGCGTGATGGACATGACTATGCTTGGAATGGCCCAACATTCCGAGAGCCATGGTCGGATATCAAGCCATTTTCTCCCTAACAAGTGTCTGAGCCACTCCGACGAGTATCACAAGAAGCCAAGATACCTTCCAAGTCTAGCAGAGCTGGATTGGGCGACATTGGGAAAGTATGGTCATGCAGAATGGCCTCTGAAACCCAAAGACGCCCACGGACAGCAAAGCTCCTTATTGACGGAGGATACTCCGAGACCTATACAGTGTTCAAATCTCCGCCCTATCTCATACTACACTCGCGCCTTGTCAATCTATACGGGCCCTCCACTGCCGGTCGAACCGTCTGTACTATATGGCAGTGACATTGCCCAACAATCGCGACTTGGAGACTTGCCCAGCCCACTTCGGCGCATTACCGAACTATACGACCTTTCTTCAGCCGGTCGAGCCCTCTTCACCAACCGTGAGTGACATTCCCTGATCACCCCTTTTGGATTCTCCAACCGTTTTCGGTACAAGTTCAGTGGCTTCGCCGTTTTGGATTTGAAAGAACGTGGCTCACTGCTTCTGGAGTTTTGCTTTCTGGTGTCTCCCTCTAGCACGGCACATTTCCGTGAGCACCCCTGACATATTTGAGTGTACCAGCTTTTGTGCCGCTACTGCAGAGGCAACACCGACGGAAGGAATGAGGGCTACGAGATACATTGAATGTGCGTCCCGAAGAAGTACCACCAGTAGCAGAGATACAGAATACATAGCGTCACCGCAGACACTCGCAGATCACATAGAGCACGACGAGGCTGCCTCCTTTCGAGGCTCAGCCTTGCAGGTGGGAGGGTCGCGACCGTAGTCGGCACACCTGCCTCTTTGGTATCAGTCGTCACGGGTTCGCATGCGGCCTCCGGTCAGGCCAGTTGGTAAATATAAGTTATACATAACTTAGTTTATATCCAGTTACAGGACAGTACAAATTATGTGTACATGGAACAAGGATGGTGCCAGGTATTGCATCCGAACTGGCTGCCGCTTGGTCTCATTCGAGTCTTCAAGAGTACATTATTGATATCGACTAAACGCTATATACGTAAATGTATGTGTTTGCCATGAGACCGAGTATACTGACGCCCAGAAGCATATAGAATACACCATGAAGTCCACCAACATAGGCGTGCAATATTTTTTGCAGCATCGTATCTGTATTGTCGAGAAGAGTGAGCTCATAGATAAAAGCCTCAGCATCTTTGGCAATGGATGTTGAAACGCCTGCTTTGGACAGAACATGCGCCATAACATTTTGAAACACGTTTCCCCCAACTGTCACACCGACACACATTCCAAGGCTGCGAAAGAATGTATACATACTGGCCCCTGAAGCAGAGCTGCTTGGGTCGGTCGTTGCCTGGACATGATAGTTTAGAGCACTCAAAAGGCACCCATTACCAATTCCAATGATCAGTAGGATCAGAATCCATACCGTCGGTCCGGTATCCTCTTCGAAGAGGAGAAGAAGGCCCGAGCCCAGAATTGTTAGAATCCAACCCATGCCGAGGATCCATTTATAGTGACCTGTGCGGGTGATGACTTGGGATGTGATGGCGGCTCCCGGTAGTAATGAACATGAAAGGGGCAGAACACAGGCACTCGACACCATCGGAGTTTGTTGCTGGGCAGAGGCAAAGTAGAGCGGGACGTAGTATAAGAGACAGAATAGCTAGTATATGTTTCAGTCTTCCAGCATTTTCGTGAGGCATTTGCACTTACAATAAGACCCTGTAAGAAGGAACAGAAGTATAGCGCAATTCTTGAAGCTGTATTGAACAAGGAGGGTCGGAAGATAGGGAACTTTGGGAAGTTATGTTCCCAGATACCGAATAGAAGCGTTCCGCAAAACCCAAGTGTGACGCTGGATATAGTCCATTTACTGGTCCATGGAAAAGTCACCCCTCCCCAAGATAGTCCAAGGAGAACGCTGGTTAAACTTGTGAAAAATATCGCTCCGCCTGCCCAGTCTACCTTTGACCAGGAGCATTGCGCCGTTGGTCGAAAAGAAGGAATTGTGAACGGTATGACGACCAGCGCTAGTCCACAGATAGGCAGATTTATCCAGAATATCCAGTGAAAGGTGGAGGTCGTTGTCAAGACACTACCGAGGAATGGCCCAACAACACTTCCGACGGCCCAGGTGGTCAGAACAATAGAAAACCATTTAGGTCGCTCTCTCAAAGGAACGAGTCGAGCAAATATGATTTGGACCAGCGTGATGATGCCGCCACCGCCCAAACCTTGTAAAGATCGCCCAGCAAGCAGAGGAATGAAGTCCCGGCTCAGGGCACAGATGATTGAGCCTGCAGCAAACGCACTGACAGAAAACCAGATCATTCTCATATGGATGCCTAATCGCTCGGATATCGTCGAGATAAAGGGCTGTGCAATCGCGGAAGTCATGAGGTAGGAGGTGCCAGTCCAGAATGCATAGATCGTGGTGCCATGTAGCTGGCGAGTAATGAGCTAGATATGTCAGTCAGTACACACTGTGGCAGAGCCATAACAACTTCCCAAGTACCGTACCGGAAGAACAGTTACCAAAATTGTAGAGTCAATGGCAGCGAGGAAGGATAGGAGCGCGAGAACCATCATGCAAGCAATATCTCCAGCTGATGGTCTCCAAATGGCAGTGGCAGATGAACGTGATACCATCTTTCGGCGGGATAGTTACATAGGAATTATCTTGGAGATGTATTGTACGTTACTGCAGCTTCGGTAGTCCTTATTATAGGCTTTAGGCGGTCTTTCTGGTTGCAAAACTTACATACAATCCACTTTTTTCAGCCAATTAGGAAACTTGACGTCAACAGGTGCATCACATAGCATTGTGCGGTCTCACACTCTGTGTCCGACTTGCAGCATCATCCAATTACGTGATATACAGAGAATATGTCTTCACGCCCGAGGCTTCTGAGCAATAGTAGTACAGAGAGCTACGGCCACCAATCCTCCTTCGACGACAAAGTTGCAGACCTCGTCAAAAGCTCGTTCAAATCCGCCCACGCGATCGGGGCAGTGACGAAGATGATCGCGTATCTCTGACAATGCTAGTAGAACATTGCTGGTCTCATGCTTGAGAAGGGCGCCCTGTGGTTGAGTTCTGCTGCTTTCCACCCGTGTAAAGCCCGTCTCTTTCAGCAAGTCCGGTAAGTGACCTAGCCATCCCAATGACTGGACGACTCGTGGCATTTCGCAGCCAATCGAAACAGGTAAGGTTTGATTAGCCTCTCTTGCATAGGTGAGGATGTAGGGCGGCGCAATGTCAAGCCACTGAAGCCATCCACCTTCGCGTAGCATGAGCTTCAAGTTGGCGAGGACTCGATCATAGTCCCTACGGCCTAGACCACCCGCTAACAATCGAATGTTGATGATATCAAATACCCCAATGTACTTTCTCTCCACTGGAGCGAGGACGTTGAAGGTGTCGAAAGTGCAGTTGCGGGGCCATATGTCATCGGGTGGAAATAGTTCTGACGAGCTGTCCAGCCCAACAACCTGACAGTTGCTGGATTGTGACAATTCGATGGTCCATATACCGTTTCCACATCCAATGTCCGCAATTACCAACGGACGTCCCGGGTCTCCTGTCTCGCCAATTGCAATACGAGAGTCAAGTAAGGATGCCGTCCTCCGACAAATGAGGAGGTGTTGGGCAGTCAACCTGGATGAGGCGTTGAAGTTGCGGGATAGGAGATAGCCATCTCTAGAGGTAGACATGTTATATCGCACCTTGATAGTTGCTATCAGGCAACGTTGACACAACAAGACAATGTGAAGTAGGCCGGGGTTTTGACTGCAGACTGCGGTAATATAGCTGCGGTCAGCACCGTGGTCGACAGGGTGGGTACCGGACCGCGACAGTTTCATTAGATTTCGAGAAGGGCGTGGAATGCTGCAATTAATGGTGTCCGACCCAGTTCATACGCGGTACTGATGGCTTCATGCGTGAGATGCACGTATAGATTTATCTGGGGCTATTTCTGGGACCCAGTGAAAGTGCTTCTGGAGCAGGGGGTGTGGCCACAGAGGCCTCCTACGCTCAATATGACAAATACTCTCACAAGGACTATTATCCCTCCATCTGGTGGATCTCGTATTGATTTGGAATTCAGCTGGTGATCGAGAGATCCACAAGCAGATCCGACCGAGCAGCGGGCAGTATACAGTCCAGTGATGGCGGTTAATGACCTCGTACTATATTATTGCTTTGCCCTTCAGCTACCACTATATTAACTGACGCCGAACATGGTGACTCCGACCACTTTCCCCAAGGTCATATCAAGATCTCAGTCCTCGAAGGGCAGAACCAGGAAAGCTGCTCAACTGGACAAGAACACCATCGTTCGCTTCGACGACCTTTCGGAAGAAGGCAAAAAGGCCGCTTTGGAGAAGTCTCATCGATACAACACCGAGCAATCCGTACCCTCCCCGTCTCAGAAGTCAAACCCAACCCAGTCCGAGACACCTCGTCATTCTCGATTGCAGAGCTTGGGGGATCGCAGACCCTACATCATGGCATTTTTTGGACTCGGCTTCATTGTTTTGGCTGTCCTTGCCTCCTTGGCACTGGCCGTGGACAAGGACAAAGACCCGAGTCTTGTCGCCAAGCTCCGGCTTGCCAATACGAATCTGGATCGATTGAAACTCCTTCCCAAGGACGAGGACTGGGTTTTCGATTTTACCAAGCAGGATAAATACACCTTTTCGCCCGGTGGAGTGATCAATGCCAACGCGGCGACCTTCCCTGCAACTGTCGGCCTCGGTTTGACGCTGGTAAGCTCTCAGATGGATGACGACATCGTGGTCGACCTCGTGTCTGATGGAATATACAGGCAGTGCTTAATCTCGGTCCTTGCGCGATGCTTCCGCCTCACCTTCATCCACGCGGAGCCAATTTTGTGGTAGCGATCTCAGGCACCACTCAAACCTACATGATCAATGAAAATGGCGCTCGAACGGTTCAAGCCACTCTCCGGTCTGGTCAGATGACCATCTTTCCAGAAGGGTCCATCCATACAATGATGAACGTTGGGTGTGACAACGCCCAGCTCATCTCGGCCTTGAATAGCGACGACACCGGCACTCTGAATGTGGCTAACTCCTTCTTTAGTCTTCCTCAGAATATCTCCGGTACCATCATGGGCGGAGGAGTCAACGTCAGTGATATCGAAGGAAAGGTGCCGGATCCAGGGACTGGGGCTAACTCCGGCCCGCATGAATGTCTGGCCGTATGTGCTGCAAGGGCAAACGGCACCCGAGGCCTTGGCTAAACTCGACTAGATTCTCTAAGATCAGGAACGGGGGCGTCATTAACGACCCAGGACGGACTTCATATTGCCGCAACGGTGGAACAAACGCTTTCGATTTTGTTCAGTTGGACAGCATTTCACAAAGAGAGAAGAACGACAAGAGGTTTGGCTGGCAGAGTAGTGTATCATGTAAGGACAAGGACAAGGCACAGACAGCCCAATATATATTACTCTGCAGCTTATTCCTCGTTAAATCCTTTTCATCCTTCCAGTGCAGGCCACAGCCCACCATGTCATTAAGCGCTCGACACCTACCATGATTCCGACACCTTCCCGTACTGTACCTGGTTGAAGCCTTCATCACACTTTTGTAACTTCAGTCAGGCTGTGACGAACATGATCTATTCGGACTGTGTGGAACTATAACTATCACCAAGACATATCAACAACACAACTTATCCTCACTCCACCCTCGTAATCCAATGGAGGACAACGATAATATGCCATATCTCGAGTCGGACGAATCGAACTTGAATGAGAATCGTACAGGCGAAGCGTCAGGCCGGTTTGGCCGGTTTGGCCAATTTGGTGGGCAATATGTTCCAGAAGCACTGAAAGAGTCCTTGATCGAACTTGACGAAGCATTCGTACAAGCCACCAAGGACCCCGATTTCTGGAAGGAATGGAGGAATTTATCCCCGTACATGGGTCGACCTTCACCGCTTTATCACGCCAATAGACTCAGTCAACACGTGGGCGGTGCACAGATATACCTCAAGCGAGAAGATCTCAACCATACGGGAAGCTCGGCCATCAACAATGCCCTGGGTCAGGCCTTGTTGGCTCGAAGGCTAGGAAAAAGGCGTGTGATCACGCAGACGGGATCCGGACAGCACGGTGTTGCAATGGCCGCTATATGTTCGAAGCTCACGCTTGAATGCACTGTCTACATGGGTGTTACAGATGCGCGACGACAAAGCGTGAATGTGGTTGACATGAAAATCCTGGGCGCAGAAGTCGTGGTCGTCGGCAGATGTGCTGGCGCGCTGCGCGATGCCATGAACGAAGCTTTAAGAGCCAGCATTCACGACCTGGATAGGTCTTTCTACGCGACGGGATCCAGCATTGGACCTCACCCATACCCGATCATGGTGCGCACGTTTCAGAGCTTAATCGGGCAAGAGACTAAAGATCAAATGAAAGACCTCATTGGTCGCTTGCCTTGTGCAGTGGTCGCTTGTGTCGGAGCATCTAACTGTGTTGGCATGTTCTTTCCGTTCAGGTCGGATTCGGACGTGAATCTCATCGGCGTCGAAGCTGCAGGCCATGGCATCGACACGAACAAGCACTCTGCGGCCTTGGGCAATGGTGCGGTCGGCGTCTACCACGGTACGATGACATACCTCATGCAGGATGAGCATGGGCAAATCAACACTTCGTCTTCGATCGCGGCAGGGCTGAACTGTCCGGCAGTGGGACCGGAGTTGGCACACTGGAAAGACAGTGCCAGGGCTAGCTTCGTCACGGTCACAGACGCGCAGGCGCTTGTCGCCTTCCAAACAATAGCACAACTAGAAGGGATCCTTCCTTCTTTGGAAACGAGTCATGCTATATGGGCCGGCATGAAGATGGCTAGCACCATGAAACTGGAGGAGACGTTAGTCATATGTCTCGACGGGAAAGGGGATAAGGATTTGGAGATCGTGGCTGATAGATTGCGATACTGAAAGCAGACCAAAATTATCGAACTGTCTAGTGAGCCTGGCTTAGTACAGCACACCTAAAGTCCCAAGGAAAATGGTATAGTGTGCTCCCAGTCAGAAGGTCCTCTCGAACCACGCCGAAACGAGCATAACAGATAATCATGCAACTTGCGTTTCGATAGATCGAATCTGCTCGACGTGTTCAAAGGGTCCGGACCCCAGTAGGAGCCAAAATCTCCAAGTTGATCGACTGTTCCATAGGAAATAGCTGCATTCCGTCGAATCCACAGCCGATAACTTGAGCAGTTCTTGCGACGGGAGTCTTTAATATCTGGTCCCACATAGTCCAGTACTTCACAAAAATCCTTGATATCGATAAATGGAAGCCCTTTGAAGATTTCAATGTCTTGTGTGCAATTACTGAAACGGTCGCAGCGGTCCTGTATGATGCCATTCCATCCCAAACTCCCATTGTAGGCGGCCGTGACCAAATCTCGTATCATTGCGTGACCCTGGCTTAGAATGGGCAGGTCTCCATTAGCTTGTGATAAGTAACGTAAAGCTCGTAGACCAGCAAGTTGGTTGTAAGTAAACAGAGTCCTCACGGTCGCATCACAAAGTACACTTGGCCGTTCATCAGGTGAGGCTTGTACGAAGCGAGGGCGTTTCTCGTCCATGTACAAGGAGTCATTGGTGAGGAGTTGAGATTGTTCCATTCCCTGAAGACACTCCAAAGCTCGCCGTATAAAGTCGGGGTCATCAAAGTCAACGAGTTGAGCACGACTTTTCGGCCACCCAAAGACGGGTCGAAACAGCTTCCATGCCAGTCGGAAGTATTGAAGACTCACTTCTGTGATGTCGTAGGGGCAGGGTCGACTTAAAGATAGGTTGAAAATTTGAGCATTATTAGCGTTGTAGAGGTGGTTCCTAATGCTGTTCTTATACACCTTGGAGAGAGTGAGTGAGGGCCACGGTGAACCTCCACACACGAACTGTCCACTCGGCACCACCACCACAGATATCCGGGCACCATGCGTCTTTGACAGCATCGTGAAGGAAGGTGGCCCGAAAGGTGAGTCGCCCGCGTACGTTTGGATGCGGTCGGATGATAGAAGAGTTCGGAAATCTTTTCTCGTGCTGGTCCAGATATCGGATGATCTCCAGGGGAATAAAGGTGGTCCATCCAAAATCGTCGTAACCTTGTGTAAGATACGTATTTTCGCCATCGTCACCGGCCGAGTCCACCTTGCTAACTTCCGCTGCAGTAGGCCATGGATGTGACTCGCTGCGTCTCTTGCACTCAAAAACTGTGGACGGGTTATGGAGAAAAGACTCCTGCTGTGAAGCTTCGAGGGTAGCCTGAAAACACGCTTTTAGGTCCGGTGTCGTATGAGTTGACTGTAAAGGCGGAAGGCTCGCGCGGCCGGTAAGTCTTTGTCGATTCTTTTCAAACGCTGGCCTTTAGGGCGGGCTCTCTACTCTTCTTGCCATTCTCCTTGGATTTTTCTGCGTGCTGTTTTTTGGCTGTTGGTACGAGGCGGCCAAAGCGGTGGTGCTTCTCAGACATGACTGCTTACTTTACGAGCCGGCCGGCGAGTTCGTTCCAGTTGAAATTGTTGTAACAGGCTTGATTGTTATAACTAACTGGGCACCTAGGTGTTTTTTATATAGGGCAGGTAGCTATAGTTGCCTGCGGCTGCCTATTAGGCAGCTGCACGTGATCTGGGATTTCAACTGTTCCTTCAATGCCTGCATAGCCTGGGATCCAGTGTAGCTGGAGGTTTATTCGTTGGTCTCGAAATGTCGAAATTCGTCAACCTTGCCAATAAAGATACGCACTACCTACATACCTACCCATGAGTCTAGGTGTAAATGACACTATGATCCGGCCCAGCTGCGTTTTTTTGCTCTTGTCTGGTTTCACTACGCTCGCCCTCTAGCTTCCCTCCATAGCCTATCCTCCCCTCCGTCATTAAGTACAACAATATACCCAAACCTCGCGCCTTGGACGTCGGTGTCGTAGACATGATACCGAGGAAAGCGATACCTCCACGGACAATAGCGGTTTGTGCACATGTCGTGGTGCTTCAACCAGCCCCAGTTCCACCAACGATTGGTGTAGAGCGCTTTAGATGACAAAAAGGAGCAGTCGTACAGGATGTTCTGGGACCATTTCATTTTTATTGTTCACAAAAGGGGGAGGATGTCTCAAAGATTCTGTTGATAATTAGAGATCCTAGTAGGTAGGTAGGTAGGTAGGTAGGTAGGTACTTGTAGTTTGCAGGTGCGGTTTGGTTGGTAGTGGGGCTGATGCTTTGTATGTCTACTTCAGAGAGAGATTAATTCTATCGTCGCGACTTATATAAGCGGGTGTCTATGCGTGTTTGTGTGTACAGTACAGAATCGCTATTGCCGTCATATGAACATAACCCTGCTCCCAAATGCAATATTTGGATACAGTAGCGTTCTTCCTTATGCTCTGAAAGTAACACGGCTCCCCACTTTGCTGTATTAAGGGGCTAGGTGGCTCCCTTTGACGATGAAGAGGGAAGTGGATCCAAATGTTTCGGATATGGTCCTTTGATACGGAGCTATGTAGCGGACGTATGGTCTTCTGTGCTGGTCTCATCTATTTTCATCACCGGTTTTCTAAACTGAGCCCCGAAGTAAGTTGTATTGTGCTCCCAGGACCACCAAACTGCACATGCTGAATGCTACGACATCTTTTCCCTTTCCTAACACTGTTCGTAGCCTTCGATTTTGCATCTCCATCGCCAATGTGCTCCTAGTAAGTGATACAACGTGCGAGCTTGGAGAATATCTTTTCTTCTCCCACTCTTCCTGACCTGTTTGTAGCTTTCGAATGCCCAGTCGTGCAGTTGATTATGACTTTTAACCGTGTCCAGAATTGCTTTGACATAATCGTGTACATTGTTTCCTCCACTTGTTAGTTTTCGGCCTCTCTCTCGTAAGTGCTTTAGGATAATGAAGTTTGCCGTCCCACCCTGTTTCAGTTCTTGGGGCAAATGAATGAGGTCCTTTTGCAGGCTAATGCCCACTCCAACAATGGTCTGTAAGTGATTGACTAGATACTCCGATTCGTTTGAAGCCTTTTCGTCGATCTCTAGACCCAGAATTGCCATGTATACCTCTAGGCCGACAGTTTTGCCGTGAATAATCAACCGGTGCTCAGGCTCGTAGGTGTTGACTTGCTTGCAAAAGTTTTCGTAGACTATACTCATGAGGATGACGCGAATATGGTGAAAGACGACCGGGATAGTCTCCGAAGGCAGAAGGAACTGTAAGTGTACTCTCAATGCTTCTGTTGGACCCGAGATGTTAATGAGGCCGGTCTCGTTGATACTGGCCCAAGGCGTTGTTGGGGTTTCTCCGTCGTCAACAAGACTGAAACACTGCCAGCACTTGAGAACCACCCGAAGTGCAACATCATTCCTCAATTCAGTCAGCCGATCGAGAATGGTCGAAGTATACGCCAACCAAGCGGCCATAGCCGCTATCTCTTGCAAGTTAGCCGTAAATGGGAAAAGGAGCAAAATATGACCAGGTGCTTCTGATACCCGACGCCTGTCTTCTTCGGCAAAAAAGGACACAAATTTGTGATGGATGATCAGGACGTCGTCCAGACATAGTCTATGAGATTCGGCGCAAGGTGGCACCTGAACAAGCCGTGCGTAGATTAATAGTCGGTCGTCGCGGGTCTGCTGACACTGGGATTCCATTTGATCACACGAAAGATGCAGCGAGGTTCTGAACGAGGCGGTAGAGAAGGCGAGGCTTATTCGAAGCTTTTTAAACTTTGAGGGTGAAAGATGACTTCGTCATAGTCTGGGATCGCACCAGGGACGACAGTACTACAACACCCCGCCAAGAAGCCTACAGCACAATTAGCTGCCTGCAGAACAACGTGCTGGGTGAGAGGGTAAAGTGAAGAAAGTCTCCCCTTCGAGCGGAGAGAATAAATGAGAGAGAATCATGACCCATCGCACTGCAGGTTGGCCGGCACTGTATTTCCGCCTCACATATATTACTCCGTAACGTGACACCCGTGGACCAAGTGAGTTGCATACTGCACTTTCTGAGCCACTGAGACGCACAATGCAGACCGCAGACTAAATCTTCAGCAACTATGCAACCTCGCCGCGAAGGGGTTTTCTTGCGGACATCCCACCGTTAGAGCGACTGCCTGAATACTTTGCACCTTGGGAAACATTGGCAGTCGATCTCCCTTCCCTCATAGCAAAACGACAAGTGAGAGGGAAAATAGATGGACTCCCTGTCCTGGAAACATCAGGCTTGGTGCACAAGGCCGAATGGCAAAGAGCATACTCCCTGTTGGGATTTTTGACCCAAGCTTACATTTGGAGCTCCAGCCCTCCCGCTGAGGTTGGCCCTCTGAATCCCATACCTGAATACTTTTGCATTCCAGCTGATGAGAATGACCAGTACCTACCACCCTCGATAAGTCGTCCCTTTCTCGCCGTGGCTGAACGTCTGAAACTCCCGCCTATCGCCACCTACTCCGGCCTGGTCTTGTGGAACTTTACATTCAAGCTCTCCGGCTGCGATCCGACCAATCCCGAGCATATCCAAGCCTTGACAACGATGACCGGCACCAAGGATGAAGAATGGTTCTACATGATCTCGGTCGCCGTAGAAGCACGAGGGGGGCCTCTCGTGGCAGCTATCGTTCGCTGTCTGGAAGCCATGAGCCAAAATGACGACCTTGGCATCCTCTCTGCTGTCGAGTCAATCGCGAACGGTATCCGAGATCTGACCAGATTACTGTCAAGGATCCACGAACACTGCAGCCCTCGAGTCTTTTATGACAAAATCCGCCCCATGCTCTCGGGGACCAAGGTATCGTCTTCCGACGTTTTACGTCGAGGCGTGTTTTACGATGTCGGGGACGGGCACGGTTTGTGGCGAAAGTACAGCGGAGGTAGCAACGCACAAAGTACTCTGATCCAGTTGTTGGACATTTTTCTGGGAGTTCCTCATCTAGGGAGGGACAAGACGCTGACAGAAACGCCGTCCGTTGGATCGTCTGTCGCACCCGGTGGGTTCCTCGAGGTGTGTATCTGCCACCCAGAGTTTGGCACACAGGGATGCTGGCAGTACTAATGGCCTGAATTAGGAGATGCAATCTTACATGCCACAGGAGCATCGCGAGTTCCTCGCCCACATCGCACAGTCGCGCAGTTTGAGGAGGTACATTGCGCAGGACTGTACCGACGCGGGCATTCATCAGGCGTACAATGACGTTGTTGAGGCTTTGGTAAGCTTTCGAAGCGTCCACATTCAAATTGCGGCTCGGTTTATTATCCAGCCATCCAAAGGTTGCCTTCATCCCCCGACTGGAGACTTCAGAGGAGCCGACCGAGTACTGACAACTCGAACATGGTCACCTCCCGACGAGAATGCTACCAGTTCAGAGCTGCGCGGCACCGGAGGTACAGAATTTATGTCGTTTTTGAAAAAGACCCGTGATGAAACTAGAGACACTGTTATTGAATCGGGGGAGCAGGCCTGTGAGCTCGACAGGCTCTCGTTGGCGAGTCACCATTTCTAAAGTGATCTGTACGGAGATGAACTGGAGTCTGAGATCGGGGCCTACGTAGGAGGTGTGAGTGATATTAGATTGATCTCCACGATGTATGGCTACTCGACGCGGGTTCCTGGCAGGATTTCGAGAGACTAAACAAGCAGACAACGATACGGTATCGGTTACAGCACCATTTCGCAGGACGTTACTAGATATTAAAACCCTATAGGTATCGAATGGGCGGTTCAGGTTGAAGGCAATACTTCTTTTACGAGACAATGAAGAAAGATATTGTAAGACTACAAAAGGAAATGACTATATAACTCGGATTTGGAGAGCCGGGGCAATTTATAGTGCAGCAAACGATACGCGGATTGAGTAGTTGCCTCATGTTTGTCCCTTCATCAGCTTTTGAGTAGCTCTCTCAGTTCTGTGGCGCTTTGCTAATCCTCTCCCTAATCCTTGCTGCCATCCAACACTACGTCAAAAAAGTCCTTACAATCCGCCCCCAGGTCAAGACTCGATACTGCGCTGAGTTGGTTCTCACACGTGTCCGAGCAAGGTATCTTGATATGACAAGGGTCACATTGATCGTCTGCCATCTTCCCCGCCTCGAGGAACGCTACCTTGCTCTTCAGGGTTCTGTTTTCCTAGTTCATTTGTCATTCTTGAGTGACTCGCGTAGCTTTCAAAACATTTCTGACCTTGTATTGAGCATCTCTGATCCTTTCAAGCTCGAAAATCCTTTTTTGTAACGTATCTATGATTTTGTTCAGTTGACGGATCTCCAGCTCTGCGGATGTGTCCTCGCTGGCGTTGTTTCTCAAGTGATTGACCTCTTTCGCCAGCTCGTCCCTTTGCTGAAGCAGACTCATATTCATATAGTGACACTGATGATTCCTCTCGGTTGACGACAGTAATTCCTCGTGCATCAGATGAACTGCATTCCGACAACCATCAACAGCGGCAGACAACGTTTGAAGATTTTGTTCGACGCAGCGGACGTAAGCCTCAGGACCTTGAATGGCCGTGAGCATTTTGGCGGAAGCTAGAAATTTTGGAAGATGATAGACAATATGATGGTTCTCTCAGTGATGGAGCGCTGGGCTGGAGGAGCGCCCATATTTGAAGTGTAAGGTACAATTACTTGGAGCTCTGATCGACAGCGGGCTCCACAGTTGCGAATGGCCACTTAGCACTCACCACAGTACAAGTACGGACCAAAATAGAAATCCCCTCTACATCCCTAGATAGTATACTGTATTTATGCAAATCATTAAACACAGAAATAGAAAATTGTTATTTTTGAGGAAGTCGGTGGAACAGGACATTACTCCACATCAACAGTCTCGTTCTGTTCTCGGTCGACGAATTTATAACGAGGTGGCATCTGCAATAGAGAACAGCCTACTAACAACAAACATGTCTAATTCCCTTCAAGAAAGTCCAACTGCACAAGATAAATATGTCGACCACAGGTTTGACGCAGGACCTGGGTTCGAGGAAGGAACACTCGACATGGACTTCTCTCTGCCACACCTCGATTGTACAGATCCTGATTTTCTTTGTTTGGACCCCTTTCCTTTTCATTCCCTAAATGATGAGAGTTTCCCACTTCTAAGTTCGGTCGTGCCAGCCGGAGTTACGGAACCATCACTGGCAACAGACAATTTCCTCCTCGATGGCTCCGGTGACTCGAACGCACTTCACAGCGAGTTTCAGAAACGTATTGACCATCTTGATGAGACTTGCAGGAGACTACAAAATGAGTATGGCCAAACTATCCTTACTGTGTGAAGTGAAAAAGCGTGCTGATACAATATTTTCAGATTTCACTACATGCAGAGGTGAGCACCACTCAGATGTATTACGTCCATAGGCTCTAAACTTACCTACTCGACGAAGTCGTGTTTGGTCAGTCGAAACGTACCTCAGGCAGCTAGGTGCTTGGTACTTCAACTTCAAGGCGGCTGTAAACAAGAACACTGCCATGTTGTCTGGTCGGATGGAATCCCTTATGATGGGGACGTCTTTTTCTTGATGGCAATTGTTTCGGTGGCGCATGGAGAGAGACATACAGAACGATGTCATAATGGAGCAAGCGAAGGGTTTTATAGTGTTGCCTTTCCTCCTAAGTTAGCCTGTATCTATTTAGTTGTACTATATCTCCGTATAAGATGATCACGAAGAGCACATTCCCTAATATCCAGTCCAAAGCAGAACTGTGACTCATCAGAACTACGAAGCGACCAACTGCTCCGGATACTATTGTACATAGACTAGGGTTCGATTGGTTTCTCCTTCCCGCTGTACCGACTAGGCTGCAAGATCCAGGCGATGACCTTTCCTCCTCTATCTCCCTCGTCCTATGTCCCACTTCATCAGGGCCCTTTACGGCAAGTTTCGACGAATACCAGCACGACGAGCCACGACGAATCGGTGAAACTCGAACCCTGGGATCATATCACCCATATTCCCGATCGACGGAGGGTTCAAAATTTGAACGCTCAGGTGATTATGCACTTACAGGATGTTTGGGTTGGGTCACTTACAATATGACTAAATAGAGAAAATATCGCCACAAGCTCAAAAGACGATATGCAGAGTTGGAAGAACTGGCCAGGGGAAGAGCTCCCGAAGCATTAAAGTTTATAAAATATACACCAGCGTGCGAGAAGGGGTCTTCATTTCCAGACTCGGAGCCTCAAAATGGCGCGAATATTTCTCGATGCACCTCATACGGCTCGACTGTATTGACGAGACCTCCAGCGACCCTGGACCACCCAGAAAGAGGCCAGCGAAGCCATCATACTGTCACTGAATTTCCGCACCGTTTACCCTCTGTCCAACCGGATCGTCAAGATACATATGACCACGGCCGAGATATGTATTGGGAGCCTTTGGCCGCTTCTCCATCAGGGCCTGACTCCCCATCCTTTGCACCACCGGAGATGAACGACGCTTCGCTCGAAGGCTGCTATGCAGACGAACAAGAAATATGCCCATGGAACCTGGCGTATAACTCCCTATTGGGTTTATGAATGTCTCTAAAAGTACTCGGCTTGGACGAGTGAGATTGATAGTGAAACATACCAGCCCCAGTTTGAAGGAAAGGAAAATTTTTGACGTATTGTTGATGCCAAACCAATTCGACACTAAGTCAACAGTTTTATTATATCTCTCCTACGTACCAGCTGCTACCATACGCCTTTTCAGACAAATGAACAAAACATTGTGGCGTCGGATGATCAAGAAGCTAGGAAATGGTGTTAACATAGTGTCCCTAGTGTTGTTCCTCAAGTAGCGCTCACCGCTTATACGTTGGTGACATCTGTATCTATTTCAGCTTGTTCAAGTAAAACGCGTAGGATCTTGCCTGTGCTAGACCGAGGGATCTTGGTGACGAATACGACACCTCCAGTCAGCTGCTTGTATGAGATGAGCTGGGACTTGACAAATTCCTCGACGTGTTCCTCCGTCAGCCGAGGCCAGCCCTGGGCATCAGAGTCGCTAGGGCGTTGACGAACCACATACGCGCGAAGTAATGTATCAACGAGACCACTTTCATCTTCAGAAGCCACACCGGCCACCGCCACGTCAGATATCAGCGGGTGACGTGATAGGATACTCTCAATTTCAGTCGGAGACACCTGCCAGCCTTTGACCTTGATGGTTTCCTTCATTCGCCCGGCGTAGAAGACCTTGCCAGCTCGAAGGTAAACGAGGTCACCAGTTCGAAAGAATCCCTCCCGGTCAATGGCCGCTTGGCTCGCGTCCACATCGTTGAGGTAGCCGGAGAACATGCTTGGACTGTGGATCAGCCCTTCTCCAGGGTTGCCTTCGGTCGAGAAGAGGGTAGACACTGGAGAGCGATCGACTTTCATCCGGACATTCGGCAATAAGTGCCCTACGCTCCCAGTATCGTCTTTCTCCCGCCAGGAAAAGAGCGTAATCCAGCCGGTTTCGGTACTGCCCCAGCATTGCGAAATCACGGCATTCGGGCTCAGGACATTGTAAAGGTGATTTTGAACCGCCGCTGACATCGGGGCAGCGGCAGAAATGAGATGCCGTAATGAAAGAAGGAGATAACGCTCAGACAGTGGAATCGAGGCAACGCTGGACGCTATTGAAGGCACGATTGCCACGTCCGTGATGGTAAAGCGGCCGACCGCTCGGGTGAAATCTGCCAAATCGAACCGTGGAAGGAAGTAGGTCGGAATTCCCAACCGTAACGGCAGAAGCATTGCCAGTGGCATGGCAAAGGCATGAAAGATCGGCAAGAAAATCAACTGTCTTGGCTGTATGACATGTCAGAATGATCGTCTTGCCTTCGCGATGGAAAAGGGGAAGAGACATCGTGAAGAAAAAGGATAACACGGACCACATAAGTCTTGGCACGAAATTCATTTTCCAAAGTCGCAGTTTGGGAAACTATTGATCGATGAGAGAGCATGGCGGCTTTCGGGAGACCCGTGGTGCCGCTGGTCATCGCATAGGCCGCAATTTGACTCGGTTCCGGTCGCTCCCAATCATCTTCGCCACACCGAAGAAGGTCCTCCCAACTTCGGCAACCCTTTGGATCCCTCTCCGATTCGAGATCAATCAAGAATATGTGATCGGCGGCGAGCGATCCGTGCGAAGATACTTCAAGGACTGGGTCTGAGCATTGTACCTGGCTCACAACGAACTTTGGATTCGTCAACTTGAAGATGTGGGACAGCTCGGAAGGCGTGTAGCCTGGGTTCGTTCCCAGGACGCAACCTCCCGCCCCGATTATCCCGAGCCAGATCAGCGGATACCAGATCTAATGGTGTCCTTGTCAGTGCATTCTTTTTTTGAATCAGTCTGGCGTTGTGTTCGCCGGGGCAGTCGAAAGCCCTGTTTCGCGGGAAGGGGACGGTTGCCGCGATGGCCTGGCTTACGTTGTTGTACATATGACAGCAAACCACGTCCTGTTCCTGCAATCCTTTTTCTTTGAAACCCTTGACAAGTCGACGGATAATGTAATAGGCTTGATACCAGGATATCCTCTTCGAAGGGTCTTTAGCATCCACGAAGACCTAAATGTGTTTAGCCCAGTTTACGGCTAGGAGGATCGATTTTATTTACCTGTTGATCTTTCTCGAACAGCCCCGGACGATCGAATGCGAACGTCAGAACATCCGTGGATGGAATAATGACCTCCTGAGGCCTGGGAGCAATGGGTACGGAGGTCGACATGATATTACTATTATGGTTAGCAGCGGCTCTTAATGGGAGAGTGCAGGTGGAATAAACTTCCTCGATGAATCAGACTCGGCGGAGAGGTCACGTACTGCCGTAGTACACCTTGCCACGCAGGACAAATTTCATTTGTCCGGTGTCCTGATTCCTACGGACCCAGAATCAGGCACGTATGAACGGGGTTGAAGATCAACTTATATTACTCGAACCAGTTTGCCCCTCATGCAGTGGAAGATAGACGGGTCTCAGTCTATTTCCAACTTCCAAATACTCGACCTTCTGACTCCTCCGTAAGAATCCAAGAGCCGATCCACCATGGACTTGATACCGTGGTAGCTAGGACATAGGTACAGAATTGTAAAGAACAGTACTGCATGTTTCGTGGAATGTGACTACAGTATTGCCAATGTCTAGCCTATAAGTCCATGCTTCTGGACAAACTTGAATCTTGTTTCGAGCTTGTCTCTACGACTCTAGGTCTTATTACTCAAAGACACCCATCATATACCGGGCGAAGCTCGTGAGAAGGTGAACCTTTAATGGAGATGCGGATTACTATACCTTCACCTCTGGACAAGTCCCGGCCAGCATTACCCCTCGCCAACCACCCGAGTTGTGCGGCCGGTGAAAGCCTACCACCTTTGCCTGATCGGAAGTATCATCCTCTCATACGCGCTCTACGTTGGTCGGTTCTCTCTGTTTATCGCCGGCTTTGCTTGCTGGTCATCATGATCAACATCCTTACAATGGCGGCCCTCGGCGCCAAACATCAACTCTTCCTGTTGTCGTCAGGCGCCACCACTGCGGCCAGCTCGATCAACCTCACGACCGCTGTCCTGATACGCCAGGAACTGGTGGTAAACTCGCTTTTTTGGATTCTGGGCCGATGTCCAACCTCGACTCCTCTTCGCCTTCGACGCCTGGCGGCGAAGGTATATCATCTTGGCGGTGTTCATAGCGGCGCCGCCATCGCGGCTACTCTCTGGTTCGGTATCTCCAACGTGACCCTATTCAACTCTTTGAGCTCGACCTCAGCCAAGGAGAGCGAAATCTCGATCCGGACCATCACCATTCTCCTCGACATCCTACTGGTCACGACAATCGTGACTGCCTTTCCAGCCTTCCGTACCTGGGCTCACGATCTATTTGAGATCATTCACCGTTTCTTGGGATGGATTGCTCTGGTCCTCTTTTGGATCTTGTTTGGGTTCCTGGCTCACGTCCAGCTCACTGACAGTCCCCAACTCACCGTGATGGATGTGGTCGGTGCGAGTCCCGCATTCTGGAGTCTCCTCCTGGCAACTTTCTCCATAGTGCTGCCCTGGCTCCGTCTGCGCAAAGAGTCTGTTCGTTCCGAGCCACTTTCCGATCACGCTCTTCAGCTTCACTTCGCCGGAGGGCGTCTGCCACTGTGCGCGGCGGTCCGGCTGTCAACTCGTCCTCTGCTGGAATGGCACGCTTTTGCCACCATTCCATTCGACGATGGTACAGGGTATTCTGTCATCGTGTCTAATGCTGGAGATTGGACGGCTCACCTGCTAGAGTCACCACCAACCAAGCTTTGGATTCGAGGCATACCGACCATCGGAGTGCTTCACATGGCGCCGATGTTCAATAAGGTGGTCCTAGTTGCCACCGGGTCGGGCATCGGTCCCCTGTTATCACTGACGGCGCATCGGCACCCTGTTTGTCGAATTATATGGTCAACGCCAGATCCCATTGCTACTTACTCCAGGTCAGTTGTGGAGAAAGTTCGAGAAGCCGACCCGGATGCGATGATCTTCAACACAACCGAGTCTGGTCGTCCTGACCTTGTCAGACACATTTATCGACTCTATTTCACGTCCGGTTCAGAAGCCGTCTTTCTTGTCTCCAACCCACGGACGACAAGAAAGGTCGTCTACGAGCTTGAATCTCGGGGCTTGCCAATTTTCGCACCGATTTTTGACTCTTAACCTCCCAAGAAATTCAGAGGAATATGAACTTGCCACGGGACGAGTCGAAGGGCAGGAAAAGAGATGTTTCGATGTTTATTCGCATGGAAAACGAATAAAGGCCGTCTCGAGGAGATCATTGTGCACAATTTTGTGGTAAAAGACTGAATGTGACACGACAAGACGACGTGTTGCCACATGGCCATTTTATCGAACATCAGGCAGCCGTGTAGGCAATGAACAGTAGCAGTCTGTAAAGACATGCAATTGGGACCTGGGGACTGTAAACCTACTGACCGAAGCTGGACTCGTAGATCCTTACTAGAGACTCTTAGTGCATATATTGTATGTATACCGTCCGTGAACACGCCGTACTCTGCTGCACTCTATCACTCACCACGGTGAAACCGACATTTCTTCTTTGCAACATGCACATCATCATCGGCGACCCTCTTTCGCTTTCGATGGTCAGATGTCCCAAAACAAGCGTTCAACCCTTGTTCGCTCGCGAGGTCAAGAACGGCGCTTGGTAACCCGCTTATAAGAGCCCCTGGCGGAGTGGAGAGACCCATACATATGGTTATGCTGATTTGATCTCCAGTGTCATAATTGATACGCCTGGAGAAATTGCCATTCTCATCACGGTGAGTGTCGTCATCCCAATTGCAAGTCATGGGTTGTCCGTTCACATACAGCTGTGCACGTCCAGCTGCAAGCCGAGTGAGTAATGGCTTGAAAGCAGGGTCGACCCCGGGTATTGAACACAAAAGGAACCCGGCGCCAGTAAACTTCCCATCTCGACGGGAAGGCATCCCACTCAGCTCAAAATAAAAGAGAGAGGCGATGGCACAATGGGCCAAGTGATCGATCTGCTCTGTCAGCGAATCATCGCCCTCGACTCTATCCGGAAGCTTTCGCATTTGATTTACGTCGTCAAGGGCATAGTCGCGATCCATTTCGTGATCCAGACGGTGGTACCGAGGATGATGGGCGAACGCTTGGCGGACCTGCTTGTCTCTCGACTTCTCCCAGATCAAATCCTGAATGCGAAAAGGAGCCTTCCGGGCCTTGGCGGTTGGAGCATCTTGTGCGACGTCGACGTCTGGGATTGTTCCGGTGCCTAAAGATACAATGAAATCGGTCCGTGACGACGGATACAGCATTTTCGCTTCCGACACCACCGTGCTGACCGGATCGTTCTCCAGAAGGCCCGCATCTTGAAACGTGCCTAGTTGAGGAACCTCTTTGGTCGGAAAGAATCTGCAAGGCAGAGTCAGCCTGATTCCGACATTGCAATAGGGATCACCACTCACGTGGGGGCGGCAGAGGCTGCCCGGGCACTGATCAGAGGTTGTCAATATCAACGCAGACTATAGCATGCACGGAGATGGAGTCTTACATTTCCCAAAGACGAGCTTTCCGGGTTTCTACCCATTCTCTTCAGCCACACCGCGACCGTCAACTTCGAGGAAATTGACACTTACCTGGATTGAGATTATTCTGCCTGGGTTTGGTGTAGTTCGTAAACAGGTGACAAGAAGGCGCCTTCAACACCGTAGCGGCTAATACCAGGAGCTTGGTACCTAGTCTCGTGGCGTAGGAACAGTCCTGCATCGTCGTTGACCTCCCCAGCAGAGACTGCAAAATCGATTCGAGGTTGTCCGGACGGTAGCGGCCATCTCGAACATACCACTTCGCCACCTTCGTCAGCCAAGAGATGAGAGGAATCTTGCATGGTTTATCTTGTTCAAAAGCCGTCTCCGCCAATTGCAACAGCATCTGGATAGATTTTTCGACCGAGTCACCGCGGTTCCACATGTTCAGCGTCACAAAGCTTCCTGCAACACGGTCAGCTTTTCTGTCCTCGCCAAGGGTCAGTCATATTCACCGGAGCTGACGGCACCTACCACCTTGAAAAACTTTTGAATTGGAATCGGGAGGCCAATGCGGTCTTGAAGTCTCCTCAACACGGTTAGTGGGATGATAGCCCGAGTTCCACCTCCGTCGATGCTGAGGATGCTCACTCCACTGGTCGGAGGCTTGACGGCCACCGTAATGTCTCGATCCCATACACGCTTACAGAGGAAGCATGAAGAGACTTGATAGGTCCAGGGCCGAGTGGGTTGTGTTTTTCCGAAGATTTGAATACAGGTCTCGCAGAAGCAGTGCCCACAAGGGAACCGGTACTGGGGAGGACGTCGGATGCAGCACAAGCAAGTGACGTCGCTGCGGATACGGCGCCATCCCTTCACAAATTGTTGAAGCACCTGCAAATGAAGCGACGCGCTGGGTAGTTCCGTCCCAGAGACCAGTGAATCAAAATATTGTAACAACTTACCCTGGATGAGCTTGAGGACTGCCGAACGCAGGATAATGTCGGGCGAACCCTCGAAGGATACCACTCGTCCACCAAGTGCTTCGCGGAGGGCGTCCCGGTAAAGCGACTGAAAGACTTGGACAGAGTCAAACACTACGCCACGTCAATCCGGTATTCTTCAATTCATGGGTAATCAGGTGCTCACACCCAGAACTTACAGTGGCAGTTCGGGGGGTAGCTATCGATCATCAGACTCGAGGCGATGACAGGGACCGCAAAGTTGGTCAAATCTCGAGCGGTATCGCAAGCCTTGAAGAAATTCGTCAGGTGCAGTGCGTGATCTTCTGCCAGGGGATTGTGGGAGCGAGAGGCTCTGATAAAATCGAACGGATCCGAGCCCGAGGCGGAGAAGTGCTCACAGGCGGATTCGAAAAACGCTGTAAAGTGGGTCAAAGAATACAAAGTACGGGCCTCACGTCTGCAATTTTCGGCTTTTCGGACACGCAAGAGAAGTTGTTGCTTCAGGTGCTCCATCGACCCTTGGGCCGTCCCACGGAACTTTTGACTGGGGGGCACGGCAACAACTTCGATGAAAGAGAATAAAACAGATGGATCTTGGCTTGTCTCTTCCTTCAACAACAAGAGCAGGGCTTTTTGGGCTTCAGTTTCTGCCATCTGGGTCAGTGGGATTTTGTCAGTCACGACGACCACGGAAGGTCTGGTGGAAGGTGTGGAGGTCGGGCCAGTCACGTCACGTAGCCAGCCAGCCAATTGAGAAGCAACTCCTCGGATTCCTCCTAGGTCGGAGGCAAAGATACAGAAAACGTCGGTGAAGGGTAGAAGAAGTCGGCTATAGATTGCTTGTTCGGTGCGTTGCATATGATGAGACTTTGATCCGCCGGGCCTGGTACGCAGAGGCCATAGGCTTCCATCGCGGCAACGGTGGCGGTTTGGTGTCTGACGAACACGCTCGCTACCGACTGAGCCCGTAGCAATGAGAATGGGTCTTCTGGAACTGGGCGACGCAGGTGCCACGTGAAGGTCAATATCTCCAACATAGAGTTTGCTCTTGAACAGGCGACTTCGGGGAACGTCGAAGAGCTTCTCGAGGGCAACAGATTTTGCTTGTTGACCTACAAGTACGATGAGGCTGGGACAGGTATCCTCGGGCTGCTCAAAGCGTGAACCCAGCGTCTGCAATCTACCTGTGTCGATCAGTGACGTCTCATAGCCCTGATCGCATATCCTGAGCCATGGGTGATGGTTGCAAAGCTTCATGTTTGTTCTGTTCGGTTACTGTGCAGGGTGGAGGTACTTGCGGGAGACAAATAGTTGAAAGGAATAACATCTTCGACTTGGTTCTCGCTTTATAGGAAGCTACTTAACTCTGCAATTCTAAAATAGAAGGTCCTCTCTATCAATAGATACACGAGGGCTATTTTTAGTCCGGTAGGAATTTCCTAGAGCCATCGCCCCACACCTCCACCTGCGAAGGTCAATCGTCATGAAGGTCCTGGGCAACAGGGCTGTATAGAGATGCCTTCTGGTAAGACAGTTCAGGAGGAGATATCTCTGAGAGCTGCTTTTGAAAATCGCCAGCCCACTTTTCGTCCAATTCTCTAGTCTCTTGCTCGAGCTGTTCAATACAAGCATTCAACACGACATATGCTTCGAATGCTTCCCGCAGTAGCTTAGTAGTCGACTGCCACTTTTCTTTCCCGCGGTCGATGCTGTGCTCCAACCAGGCATTTTCCTCCAACAACCTCTCGACAACGTCCGAGTTCACCGAGTTCTGGAGCTGATCAACTTGATGGAGTAATACGTCCACGTTGGGTGCGATCTTCAATGGACTGGGGCTATAAAGCTCTGTGACGGTTTCTGTTGTAGAACTCATTTCAGAGGGACTCCTGTAGAGTATTCTTGATTTCAAGGTTAATGACAAAAACGTTGGCGAAAAGCGGCGCTGCTCTTGTGTCCTTCACAACTGGAAAGTGCGAGAATCCAATTAACGCCGGGATTATATAGGCCACAAATCAGCACAGCACTCTTTTCGTCGAAGCAAGCCAAGACAGTCGGACAGATTAAGGGGCTGTTCCCATAAATGTAGGGATCAAGAACTAGCCCCACCGGCTATGTATGTACTGTACTACTTAACCTGGCGCCATAGAAGGCATGTATGTGAAGAACTTAATTCAGAGTCAACATCGGAACATGTCATCCCGCGATGCAATGGTCATTCAGGCGGACGCTATTCCACAGCGTTACAACGTCCTTGCTTTCCTATCATCCTGGCTGATTCACACCAGCTACCTGTTCCTCCCGGGCACGTTCACCTCTCTTGAGAAGCACCTTGATAACGAGAGCGGCCGAAGAGTAGTCGAGGCAGTGAAAAATGTCCCACTGCTCTGGCTGGCCGGAATATGCTGCATTGTCGGGACTGCTGGGCTGGGCTATCTGTGGTGGACATGGAGTTCTAATCCGGTCTGGCTTATTCGCAATATTTTACTGTGAGTTCCGGGCCCGAATACCGTATATAAGACTCTCGAATTAGCTAATCGTGGGCACTCTAGACCAGAGACAGCCAGCTCCTTTCTTGGCTCTTTAAATACGCTCATCAATGTCTACTCCGCGCAGAATGGATTTTGGTCACCAACAGCGGTGGTTGCCATGACCATCAACACAATATTTCTCGTGGGAATGCTGGCATCTTTGCTTGTTTACAAGTATCAACTCCATGTCATAGATCGATCCCGATTTGATAGCTCATTTCGATGGAACTTCCGACGTAGATAAGCTACCACAGAGTTTTGCGGTTGTGTTGAGAAGAACAAATACTGAACACTATAACGGCCCCTCGACATATAATTCCAACTCTGCGATACAGTACAGTACCTCCTCCATATCTAATTTGTGAACATAATTCCCCGATTTTACAGTATATCTATTACTTTTTGGATTACTTCAAGCCTCCCTCTTCTGGGCGCGAGTAACTCGTCGCTCTTGGTTTCCCTTCAAGTCCATGCCTGTAATAGGTCTCGGCTCGCGACGGCCGTCATCTTTGGTAGGAACCGCAATGTTTGTGCATGTATCAGCCTTGCAATGAAAGTGAAGCCGTATCATTGGCTTCTTTCGGAGGGCATATCTCGACACGTCCGGTGAGGCAACTCGGTAAGACTCCGACCGGGAACAATGCTCTGAAGGACAATACCTTTGGCAACGATCGCACCTAGGGCGCAGTTGGCGAGTGTTATCATTTCTTCCTCCGTCAGATGTCATATTGAGGCCAGTTCTTGACTTTGTAGGAGGCTTGGATTGTGTACTTCAGCTGATACAATGTAAACGTCAAGTGACGAATGCTGATCCAAGGTGAAGAACGTGATTTCAATGTCTTGATGATGGCCTGATCTTGTCCAAGGGAAGAATATGTAGGAACTTGTCAAGCGATGAGAAGCTGAACGTATAATGAGATGGTGTATTCAGGTCTGAAGCGTAGAACTGATCCTATATAGACACGCTTCAGTTACATTCTCGTGCTCATGGGTCATGTTGATATTTATGGTATACACAGTGTACTATATTTATTCCTAGCTCATCGGCTCCATGAGTAGGCTAGCCGCCATCCAAGTCAGTCTCTTCAGGTCCCCTCATATACAGTGCATCTGAAACACTCTAGGGCTTGATCATGTCCTTTGCTGGTCACCTCAGCCGCCATACCTTCTGCGCACCACCCACATAGCCATCACTCCTCTTTGTTACAAGATGCATCTTCTTGAGCTCTCTCCATTTGTGGCGTTCGAAAGTCTTCCGGGTAGGACCACTGGGGTACCGGATAACATTGATTCTGCACTAATGTCAATACTCTTATGTGGATCACAGATAGGAGGCGGGGGTCAAATACCAGAGCTTGGTCCGAAAAGGGTGATTTGTCGTTTTCTGCACAGCTCAGAATATATGACCGTCCACTCCTCCGGATCAGAATGTAGACTTCAGCATGACACTGCTTGTGCAGGTCATACCCACTCTTGAAGATGCTTTTCTTGCGTCGATAGAATCGTGTTCGTTCACGTTTCGCATTTTGACGTTGAATGCGTAACCGAGACTCCGATTCCGACACTATGCCAGATAACTGCATTCTAGAAATTTGGAACTGGATATAGTACAGCTGTAGGATGGAAATTGGCACTGAAGAGTTGCCCCTGTTACCAAAGGAAACGAGGAGGGAGGGAGGATTTGAAAGTTCTCGTATTATATGTACAAATGATTAGACCAGACGAGGCAAGGTTCAATCGCAAGAATTTGATTAAGGGTTCGGGCCAATCCGTTCCGGTCAGTTCCAGTGATGCTTTCCTTCTGCATGCTGACGGTCTGTAGAGGATAAATATGTCATCCTATTACAGTAGAGCATGACTATGAGAGTGGACCTTTGTGCCATGAACCTTCCACACCATCATAATATAATGCCCTCGATACTACTCGAGTACTGTACACGACGCCATGTTCACTCACTCCAAGTGAAGAATGAAAGCATTTTCCAGGGTGATCCCTAGACTCCGACAGCAATCTGCGGCATCTGACGAACATACTATCCGAATGGACGAGAGAAAGTCTCCTTTATCGACAGAGTATGACCTTTCGGCACCACAGAAGATCTCCAAGGGACCTGCGAAGCGTTACGGTCATTGCTATAGTATGCCTGAACCCCAGGTGCATCGGCAGCATCTTCCTGAAATACAGTCATGCCAAAATGACGACGGCACCAACATGGAAATTCGAGCTCTGGAGGAGTACAATCGGCATTTGAAGGCGGAAATGAGAAAATATTACCAACTACAAAGTGTATCACAGAAGCTGCTGGAAGAGGTACGGACTTCCACAAAACGACTCAAAGATGCCGTCCTCGAATTCCGGCGAGCTCACAAAGACATTGAGGAAAATTTCCGCCAGGAAGAAGACCTCCACGAAGCGGAATTCTTGAGAAGTCATCAATTTTGAGGGTGACTGTGCACAGTGCTGGAACCATATCTGTCCAGTCTGTCTCTGGACACCTGAAAACGACACTATCTAGAACCTGTATTTGAAAAGATTTCTTGACGTATTTCCTCCAGTATCGCTTCTGACGGCTGTATGAGCTCGTCCCATTCTTTCCGTTGGGCAGCTTTCTCTTCTGGATCTAGATCAATTTCTTTGTTCTGAACAACAGCCATTTTGGACAACTGCTTAGTCTGTAAATCGAAGAGTGTTTCGGCTTCGTAAAGTTGTCTTTGATGTTCGTCCATATGACCTTTTAGCCGGTTGTCTGCTCTCTCCCGCCGCCTCGATTCGTACTCCTGTGTCTTCCGCCGGATTTCCGCGATTTCTTGACGATTATCGCCATTGAATCGACGTCCTGGAACTCGATTGCCTTTAACCACGTCGTGCCATTCGAGATGGATTTTCATTTTAGGTACCTCAGTCGACTTTGTTATAGTAACTTTGTTATAGTAACTGCCCAATTGTGCCTTGACGTTGTAGGTTAGGAAAGAATGATCTTGAACAAGCGCTATTCACATTTTGTGAGGCAGTGGCCCCAGATATAGGCAGATCAAAATGGATTTATAAGCGACGGTCTTAACCACACTGGACGGCAAGAGAAATCTAAGGGCCAGATCCCAGAGATTTCGCCTCTGAAGTCAGCAATAAGAATGAGAGTACGGTGACAGGATGAAATGGACTAGATAATAATCGGACCGGTGTTACAGTACAGAATGAGTGAGTGAGTGAGTATCATTGACCCTGTCCTCTCTCTCCGTGGGGAGTGATATGCCGGGCTACTACTATTCTAACTACTCTATGATTCCATTCAGTATGAGACTACAATACATGCGCGATCTTTCAGCCTCGTTGGGGCCTGTAATGATCCCTTGGCCTCGCCGGCGGGGCTCGTGACTTGAACCTTCCGGATGCTTCCGCAAATTCGAGCACTGCGTTGATGATTTTCCATTTGATCCCGCCACTGCCTCCTTTACCTTGCTCGTTCCGAGGAGTTCCTCCGAGCATGCTTGCGGTGCACTCAAGTGTACCACCTACCTTAGTACGTAGTTCTTGTCTTGCTTCCCAGAGCCTCGGACAGTCCACCAGTACGTGGACTACAGTTTCGATTGCTCCGCACACGCAGCGGTCGTCATCGGTGAATCTGAATCGTCGGCCGTGTGGTGCGAGCCAGGAGTGTCCAGTCCGCATCTGGATCATGAGGTAGGTCTGGTGTCGAGTAAGTTGACCGTAAAGGCGGAAGGCTCGCTTGGCCGGTAAGCCTTTGTCGATTCTTTTCAAATGCTGGCCTTTAGGGCTAGCTCTCCATTCTTCTTGCCATTCTCCTTGGATTTTTGTGCGTGCTGTTCTTTTGGCTGTTGATACAAGGCGACCAAAGCGGTGTTGCTTTTCAGACATGACTGCCTGCTTTGCGAGCCGGTCAGCGAATTCATTCCCTTCAATGCCCGAATGGCCTGGGGCCCAGTGTAGCCGGAGTCTTATTCGTCGATCTCGAAATGTCGAAATTTGATTCAGGATACGATGTACTATCGCTTGTCCTGATTTGTTGGATGGGTTGGCAATGGCTTTAATCGCGGACTGACTATCGCTAATGATAGTATAGTTCTTGTCTCTCCGTCTGTTGACTCTTTCTTGATAGATGGCTTCGACGGCGTGACAGATAGCGATTAGCTCGGCGGCATGCACCGTCCAATCACTGGCTGGGCCAATTCCGATTTGCCACGTCCGCTGTGGTCTCTCTTTTCGGTACACCATGACCACCGCGGCGCCAAGTTTCGAGTCTTTCTCCGAGGCATCTGTGTACATGACCGCCTCTGAATCTTCGATCAGCTTAGCTACCTTGTCAAGTGCCTGCGACCTGTCATGGTCGATTGTGATCTCGATTGATTCCGGTATTCTCCAAGGTGGAAGCGGGATAGGATCGATGGTCTCCAACGACTCGAGTTCCTCATTGTCGAGCGATTTGGTGGTCTCGGCCAAGGGAAATCTGGGCTGAGTTCCCCGTCGGTTCACTCGTTGTCTGACTCGATCCATAACTCTGGCGAGTGGGTGCGTCGAGGGTAGAGAGCATAGTCGCAGCACCACTTCTTGTCCTCGCTGTTTGAGCCTGAGGCGCGTGGGGAGGATATAGCACTCGACTTCAAGCACCTGGGTTGCAACAGACCGGAAAGCCGAGACGATCCGGAGGAGCGCTGCTCTTTGGACGGTGTTGAGGACTCGGAGGTGTCCTTTGTCCCGGTTGGGATTGTGCCACACTGTTGATGCATAATCGAGCTTGGGTACGACGCAAGCCTGATATATTTGCTTCATTTGGGCAGGCCGCAGGTGCCTCAGTCCTCCCATCCCGAGGGCGGTGGTGGTGGCGGCTTTCACAGCTTGTTGTACGTGGTCTTTCCACCGAAGTTCGTCGTCGAATACCACTCCGAGGAGTTTGGCTGTGCGGCCGGCGTGGATGACCTTGCCATCCATGGTGATGCATCCTTTCCCTCGCTCTTTCTTGCGTCTGGTGAGATGAATTAGTTCTGTCTTTTCTGCCGCGAAGCTTGATCCCGTCAGCCGCGCCCATTCCGTGACTCGAGGGATGTCTTCTTGCTGAATCTTCTGGAGATTTTCTTCTGCCGATTTCCCGACTCTCCATCGGAAATAGTCATCGATAAATGCTGAGGCGCCCCCCTGGGTGTTTACCTCCTGGTTCACCAAACCTGAATTGAGGAGGGTAAACAGAATGGGCGAGAGCGGTGAGCCTTGTGCTAGTCCTGCGTTTTGCAGAGTGCGGACCTTGGTGGAGAACCCGTCGAAATGGATGCTTGCCGTTCGACCTTGCATGAAGCTTTGAATCCATTTCCTGGCTGTTGTGGGTATACCTTTCTCCCGAAGGCGTGCATCCAGTGTTGTCGCTTTGACCCCATTGAATGCTCCTTTCAGGTCAAATGCGACCAATGTAACCACTCTGCCTCTCAGCCATGCTTGGTCGATAGCATTTGCTAGAACCAGAAGGGCTTGCTCCGTTGTTCGGCTTGGGCGGCCCCCAAACTGTGTGTCCGGGAGTAGTTCATACTTTTCCGCGTAGTAGGAGAGGCGTCGAGCGACCACCGCTTCCAGCAGCTTGCCTAGGGTGTTCAAGAGTGAAATAGGACGGTATGCCGTAGGAGATGTGTAGTCCGGTTTGCCTGGTTTCCTGAGAACCACTATCTTTGCCACTTTCCACTGCTGAGGGTAGTGGCCAAGGTCGATGGACGCTGTGAAGATGGCGGCCACGGTCGATGATATGTATGGCCAGATCTGGGACCATACCAGGGTTGGTATTCCATCATCACCGGGTGCAGTCCGTTTCTTCATTCGTCTGAGTGTCTTCACGATTTCTTGTTCCGTGATTGGTTCCCATGGGATCTCCTTCGGTGGGACGATACACTCAGGTGGCGGGTGGCCGGTGGGGGGAAAGAAGGTCTCCAATAGTACGCGTGCCTTGTCATGGTTGTCCGTTACTTCGTGGTCACCCACCCGGAGTGGCGGCAGGTTTGCGAAAGCGTCGTTCCTCTTCATGTATGGCGTTGCGCGCCACACTGTTTGCGAGGTTGCTTGGTCGAGGAAGTCTTTCCAGTCTGCTGCCTTGACTTTCTCGAGTTGACGAGTCCAGTGTCTTCGTTTGGTGCGCCATGTCTCGTGCAGCTCCACTGTCTGAGGGTGATGGTGACCATTTCTCGTGCAGCTGCGCTGATACTTCCTGCGAGATTTATTCACCTCCTTGAGTTCTGTTTTGAGTTCCCGAGTAAACCATCTCTTGGAGTATGGGCTGGATTTCGCTATCGGTATATACTTGTCAATGGCAGCGGTTGTTATGTCAAGGAGGGTTTTCACTGTTTGGTCCAAATCCACTTTCGTTTGGATACTCGGAATATCCGACATGTGTGACTGGATCGTAGCTCCTATCTTGGCCCATTCCGCTCGTTTGTATGCCCGGCGTGGTGTAGTTTCTGGTCGTTGTTCCGCCCGAAAGTTCCATTCCGAGTACGTGGCGCAGTGATCGGATGCGAAATTGTCTTTATACAGATCACATTTTACTATCAAGTTGGGTGTGTTCGTAAGCGTCAGATCGATAGTCGACCTTTGTCCTGGTCGGCTGAGTGACCAATATGTGGGGGTGCCACTAGGAAGGCACGATGACAATCCTTTCGCGTGGATGAAGTTGATGAGCTCCTCAGCATGTGCCATAATATGAGCGTACACATATGTGCTGCTCCAAGCTGGGTGGTGTCGGTTGAAGTCTCCAGCTATGATAAGGCTGGTTGGGGATGGCCAGTTCCGCGTATGTTCTTGAATTGTCACCTCAATCTCGTTCAGCGTGGCTTGCATGCTCTGTAGCTCATTGATATGATGCAGCTCGATGGGTTCTATGTAGACCGAGAACACCAGTGTCTGTCTTTTACCGTTTCGGATTTTGATTGCCGTGACGTCCGGATGATTACACGCTATTTGGCGGTGTGCTGTGGTAGAGATTCGTTTGTTGACGTAGATGAGGCTACGTTTTCGGATTTGGTCGTTTTGATGTGTAGGTTGGTATGTGTACCAGAGGCGGTGGTTAACATATGTCTGGTACGAGGTGATGGAGGGCTCTTGTATTAGCAGCACATCGAGGTCCTGTGTTGCTTCATCGTTGATGAGAGCCTCCATGCCGGCGCGCGATTTCATGATGTTCAGCTGCAGTATTTTTAGACTGTTCTGATTCATTGGGAACCATTTGCTTGGGTAAGCCCACTCTCTTCACCGATACTGAGGTGTTCCGGTGCCTGGCGGTTGCCGCTCCTGCCTCCTTCGTTGGATGGGCAGTGTCGTCGCTCATGATCGCCATTGCAGAGGTGGCATCTTTTAGGTTTTGGACAGTCTTTCTGGAAGTGCCCTGGTTCGCGGCAATTATAACACTTCTTCTTTTCAGGGTCATATGCTGATACCCCCATGTGTCGTTGACCATACACTAGCCCATGTGTAATAGCTTCTTGTGCCGCAGCCTCAGTGTCAAACCATACTCCGAGAGTCGCATGGTATCCGATTGGCTTGCCCTTTGCAATGAGCCATGTGGCTTCGTCGATCTGGGCGTTCTTGGCCTGCATCTCGTTTTCCTCCATGAGTTGGCGAATGAACTCGTGTTCGTTATCTGGTAGCACAATGCCGTCGGTAGGGAACCTATGTATAACCACCGGGTATCGTGGTTTGACCAACTTGGTATTGTTGCCGAGTTCCTGCAGCCATTCAGTGTGCGTTTTGGCCGTCGCTGCTGCTTGTTCATCCTTGCAGCGCACCACATATCCGGTGCGAGTTGTGTTTACTCCTACCACTTCGACCTCTTTTGTCTTGTCTGTCTTGAGCAGGGCTTGTCTAATGAGGCCAATGGCTCTTCCTATGGGGAGGTTTCTGGTAAGGGTGTCTCCGTTCACTTCGTCCTCGGTTCGGTTTGCCTTGGTGCTGATGCGTAGGCACTGAGGTTCTTTCTTCGGCTGGCGGGAGTTGGCCGGTGCGGTGGGTCCTGCGGGGGTTTGAGTTGCGCTGCCTTCGTTCGCAACTGACGCCCAGGACCGTAGGGCGGTCGGGGAGGTGGTGGCACGTTCGAGCTTGGATTCGAGGGAGCGGACCGCGTTCTGAAGTTCAGTATTTTGGCTTTTTACCTGTTTCAACTCGTCCTGTATGTCGCGAAGGGCTTTACCCTGGCTTGCGATGGTTTCTTTCAGCTCTGATATGGTCTTCACGAGCGCTTCTAGGGTGGTTTCCTGATGGCCTTTGCGCGGGGGAAACAATGTTTCGTCTCCGTCCGCGACCACAGAAATCGTCTCCAGGTCTGAGTCATTTTCAGCGATCAGTTGGGTCGCTTTTGCGCTGGGTTTCCTGGCTCTTCCTGAGGGGGGTCGTCGTGGTGTTGTCGGAATTGCTGGTGTTCTGCGTGTCGTCGGCATCGTCCAATCGGGAGCTGCCGACGCTAAGGCGCGTCGGGCGCGTCAGGCTTGGAGCCTCCCGAGACGCGTCTGATGTGCTTCGTGCTCTTGATCTTCGACTTTTCCGATTCCTTTCGTTCCCTCTAGATGTCCCTGAACGTACCCTCGAATCGTCTCCGAGCTGATCGGTCCCGTTACAGTACAGAAATGTGCGGAACTGGTGTCACTCCAAGCTGCACAAAAATACTAAACAACAGCGGGATCTAGTCTTTAGCGCTGTAAGCTTTACCGTAAATACCTTAGATGACAATGTTCAAGCTATCCAATTAACTTAGATCTATGAGTACATGTAAATTACGTCACTGTCTATACGGATATACTAGGTGTCATTAGATCACATTATTCAGCGCCAAGTCAACACTAGCATTTAGCACGTGACTTTTCCATGAAACCTCAAGGTTCTGGCGTCGGAACTGCGCCCTCGGTATGTTGAGTACCTTCGAGCCCTGAAACTCATCACGCATTCTTCGTGGTGTGCTCAAGTTATGCTGACGATCTGGCTGTTCTGTACATATTGGGTACAGAGACCTGCAAGTACGCAGGCCAAAGTGCAGACCTGCAGTGTGAGTGTTCCTATGAACTACGACTCTCTTTCTTGTATGTACAGTACAGTATAGACAATCTTTTAGGCTTCATTCCCTCGCAACGGCCCATGTCGATCATGGCTCCAAATCTGTTCCGGTCACAACACGGACAACACATGATTCTCAGCCAATCACTTACGGCCTCAGACATGGCCAAGGTGGTTGGTTGTACTAGGCGCACTGTTAAACGACACCGCGCGAACCTACGATGTTTTGGCACCACTACTGCACCCCGCAATCCAGGCGGCCGACCTTCGATTCTAACGCCAGTGATGGTATCGGAGCTGTGCGAACATATATTTGATAAGCCCGATGAAGACTTGGACGGCATGGTCATATGGCTGTGGGATGAGTTCGAGACCCTTGCATCGCGTTGGACGATTAGCAGAGCTTTGTCCTCCGCAGGCTGGTCCGCGAAATCGATACGGCAGAATGATGACCAGACTGGTTTTATCAACACAAAAGGCACGTTTACCACCATCCCACAGCTCATAAAATCACACAGCAGATACCTGAAGGTTCAATCCGTCTACTGACATTCAATATCCGCCGATCAAGGTGAACAACGCGATCTTCGAGCGTGTGGAGCCGGTTGACAAGATTATTGGGATTTCGATCGATAGTATTCAATCGTTGGTTGTACTCAGCGGCTCTATCATGCATGTCATGGAAACGTTCATGAAGGATTCGGACGTGCTCGCTGAGACTATTCGGATTGCGGTCAATAGCACTGAGACGAGGATAAAGACCTCGAAAGTCGTCGCCGAGGTTGTCGACGCTTTGTTCAAGCTCTCCAAGGCGCTCACTAAGGCTACGGGGATTGCGGTCGACGCCGTTGAAGCGGTCCTCAAGGTTCCTGAGACGTTCATTCAGGCTGCCTGGATTACGATCGATTTGGTCGAGACGGGGCCCAAGATTGTCAAAGTCCTGACTAAGAGTATTTACCCTTTGCTCAAGACTCCTGAGGCGTTCGCTAAGACTGTTCGGAGTGCGGTCAATGGCGTCGAGGCGTGCCTCAAGAGTGTTAAAGTTCTCTCGCAGACGACCAAAGCTTTGGTCCAGGGCTCCAAAACGCTCGTTGAGACTATTTGGATTGCGGTCAATATTACTTAGGCGTGTATCGAGGCCGGCAGTAGCCTGATTGAGAGTGTTAAACCTCAACTCTAGCACTCTGAAATCCTCACGCAGTCGCCGAGCATCCGCGAGAAAGCCTTCGAGGCGTTGGTCTAGATTGTTAGCGAACGTCGTGAGTCTATCGGATTAATTAGTGATGCCCGAGGAGACGGATGACTCTAGCTAACAATTCTGCCATCTCTCCTTCGTCATATCTAAAATGTCCCGGAGACAGGTATTGTAGGGACTCAGTACTGAGATTATTATACCAGAGACGAACGGTACTTCGATGTTCAGTCGACTATGAGGCCAATTAAGTCGTGACTAGGAATGACACGAACGACAACCCATCTTACCCTCAGGAAGACAAAATGAGCGTCTGGTCCACACAATATTTGATTCGGTGCCTTCGCGATGCTTATCACTCCAGGTAGTGGTGCAGGCCAATGATCGGTCGACACGTTCCGAGCCGCCACATCGATCTCAATTCGGGCATGAACCGTTCGTTCCGTAATAGATGGGGAAGTATTACAAAAGCACCAATAATCTTTCAAATGGTTCAATGGACCTACAGTAACTTACACGATTGGTGGAACGGCTAGATTCGTGCATATTAGTTCTATTAACACAAAGTCCACTTTGAGCCCCCCAAAAATCAGAGGTCTCCCTTCCCAACTTCTGCGCCGCTACTCCACCCACGCTCCAGGCATGCGCCCTGCACCCTCGGATTCCTCATCCTCTGCTTCATCATCGTGACCGTACCATGTCATGAGCGTTGCAAGAACGATTTGCGTGTCATGGTGCGATGGACCGAGCGCTTTGACACGATGATTTAAGCAGGAAGTCATCAATTCCACAGCTTCTTCTTCACGTTTTTGATCTTTCAAAGTATACGCGAGGTTGGCCATACTGGTCAGCGTGTCAGGATGCTCTTCCCCCAGCACTCTCTTTCTTGTCTCCATTACTTGCACCTCGAGCTCCTCCGCCTGCTTCCATCGCCCTTGATTCCAGTATGTCGATGCCAGGTTGGCCATACTGGTCAGCGTGTCGGGATGCTCTTCCCCCAGCACTCTCTTTCTTGTCTCCATCACTTGCACCTCGAGCGCCTCCGCCTGCGTCCATCGACCTTGGTGCCGGTATGTCGATGCTAGGTTGCCCATACTGGTCAGCGTGGAGGGATGCTCTTCTCCCAGCACC